AAATTGGTTTTCTCTCATGAAATTATTTGTGATTGAATGTTTTCATAGGTTTTACTGTCTCCTATCTTTGTGTATAAGTTGACTATTTTGTTCGGTTGATCTCTGACTAAGTGGTTAATCGACCATTTTTCGTATGGATTATTAAAACGAGTCTGTTATCTCGTTACGTCTGTTAATCATCAATTGATCTGAACGCCATGCTTCATGAAGTTCTTTGGCCGTCTTAGAATCCCCAGGATCCAGAACTTTCTGAATCGAATTCATATATTTGGTTGTACACCTATGTTGATATAAATGGTAATATATTGTGTCGTTTTACTGATAGTTTGTATTCATGTGGCAGCAAAATGCGACCTAATGCCTTCTAATGACATTGCTGGACAGTTCGGAAAACCCTGCTAACCAACTTAAGTGTTATGAGTGAGTGAATACATTGAATAATAATTATTTTTTGAATGAGTTCCGTGACAGTTTGTAAATCAATCATCCATAGTGGCTAAATGGTATAATTCTGATAATCAGGAAGTGAATAATTAGTCTACTGTTATGACCTTAATTCGTAGGGAGAGACAATGATGTTTTGGTTTTAGTTTACAACCCTGATATGATAACTTATTTATTACAACCTTGAGACCTGCCACGCGCGTGATTGAACAATCTTGAGGGCAAAGGGAAAATAAACTATCCCATGACTGAATTGGTTGATAAGCAGATAGTTGGATCTGTATATCCGAATTATATCTGATTCAAACTAGCTCAGAAAAGATACGTGAACAAATACATGGCTAACAAGACAACAACACATTAGAAATGAGGAAAGTACAGTTATATACAAACTAAGATATTAGAGTAAAGTGAATAGAACACAAAGATCATGTTTCAATTAGTTACACAAAAGCTTGATTTATGTAATAAAGTAGATACAAAAATAAATGCTATCAATTTACAGGCTTCCAATTAAGTGATACAATTCCTTCGAAAATAGATTTCGTTGCCTGTCATTGCTCCTTTATTTCTGTCTTCATATTATCTACCTACTCAGCGAGGGTGTTGCTTACGAAATCGAGAGGATGAAAAGCGAATGTCCGGCGCTTTAATCGGATTGATGAATACGGAATGTCTACCTAGGAGAGTTAGAAAACCCTGATTCCAAACCGATGGAGCACATGGGCTCCAATATCCTGAAGGAACGAACGGCGTATGAACCAATTGTTAGTCACCGACTATCATAGGACTGTATCTCCTGACGTTGCTTCATTGCCTTGTGGATTAGACTTTTCGGTCGAGCGCTCCAGGTGTGACCTCCTAGGAAAACAATCTGCTTCGGTTTGGGTACCAGGGCAGCATCATAACCCACACACAAATCAAGTGACCTACACTAATCTCTTGGAGTTAAAGTAGTTTTTTCTTCTTAACCGGTACGTTATGTAACGAATTCAATAGTGTAATCATTTCAGTTTAATCATACAAAACTAGATGGGTTTTTAAAGATGAATAACAATATCACAAACAAAGGTCACGTGTCCAAAGTATAGACTAGATGAAAGTAATTTTAAAGGCCAAGCAACAAATTAGTAGACAACTGATAGAAAAAAAACACCTTTGATTTGAAAGTATTGGTGTCTACGTCTTAACATTCAAGAAATTAAGGCTGAATGAAAATAAACAAACAAACATTAAATAATTTCAGTTGAAGCTAGACCACCATGGGAAACCTGGACGGCCGTTTCGTCCTATTATGGGACTCCTCAGCAGCGCGCATCCACGACCTCGCCCCTTGCGAGATCCGAACCCAGGACCTACTGCCTTCGCGCGCGAGCACTTAACCACTAGACCACTGAGCCGGCCGGCATGCAACGGTGTTAATGTCTAACTTTAACTAATCCACGAAATTGAGCGACACATCCACCATTGTCTTCAGTGAGTTACTATCCCACAACAGACCTGGTTGAACTCCACTGGTCACTACTTCTCACTAGAACTCCAGGATATACCTCTTGAATCCAGTTACTAGTGAGCATATGTTGATTATTGTCAGAAGGGGTTTTGTGGAGATTGTAGTAATTTCAATGATAAGCTATTATGTGAATTCTAGTCTAATTACTATGGGTACTTTTAACCCTTAATTATTCAAACTATAACTGAATATAAGATAATACCGATTGGGAATCTGAATCAATTTAGACCAAATAAACATTTCTACAACTTCTGTATATTTTTATATAGATAATGTAACATAGATATGCAAGGAGTGACCTTGATCAAGTGACTAATTCAATTAGAATGGTTGAATCTCATTTACATATAACTCGTTCGGTTTAGTAAGTCAATGATTAAAATCATTAACCCTGTTCCATTTAATCAAATTATAATAGTCAATAAATGATTGATAAATTCGAATTATCTTTATTATACAAGATGAAAATCTGAGTATAGCTTCATGGTCTAGATAATTATCCATATCTTGAATTCAATCACTTGCGTTGGTATCATAGGCGTGCACTAGAATTGAGAAGCTTAATACCAAGATAGAATAGCTATCCCGAGCTTCCTGATCGTCTATGGTTACCTAACGAATATTAGTTTACAATTGATTGATCACTGAGTAGTGACCAATATGTTTATAAATCTGTCTTAAATAAGGTAAATCTCAGTTCCAATAGCTTAATCATAGGGTCTCTGACTGTAAAGCTGAACGACCGCCAGATCGAATCCATCAATTTCTTCAAGATTACAGGTGTGGTGTGTGCTACTTATATAAACATAAGAAGTATATGATATTAGTCGTGAACAGAATGTCTGGTAGCAGAGAGACAAGAGGATCGAACAGTAAAAAATGGAGACAGAATGCAATTTGTATGGAAATACAAGAACAAAGGAAGTCTGAGTCATTTTGAGACAATTGATGAACATTTTGCAAATTATGCATTTACTATATGGTTGTTAGATTTTATTAACAAGTCCTGTAATTTTGTGTCGAATACACTCGATTGTTCCCTCACTGGTGTTCTTGTTCAATACACAGGTACACTGTGCTGACGAGTGTCAAATAACACGCAACCTAGGTAACACCAGGGTTACTTATCGGTTACTTTCTAACCAGCACCATACAAGTGATGTTAGTTCCTTATGTAAACGATGAAATATTATGTATTCCTTCTTCTTCTTCCTTTTTCATTTCTCTATTATACAACAATCCAATAACAGGAAATGCAAAAACGTTAATACTTTAATAAATATGAATTATTATTAACAGTAATTATTAGAAACAATATTCGTAATAGTAATAATAATGGTATAATTGAACATAATAAGCTTGAATTATGTGAAATAAAAAGGAAATCATAATAAAAAAGAAAAGAAAACAGACAAAAAATTCAAATCCAAAAGATACAAATCATACACACATGCATACTTAAGATAGTAGAGTAGGATAGACGAATATCAATATAGTCCTTTCAGTAACCAAGGCAAAACAACAAACAGACCGTTAAAACAATGAAATAATCAGTGTGACAAATTACGTGAGCGACAATACTTCTATTGTTACTACTACTATTACTACTGATGAATAGAATCAGTAGTGAATTTAAACAAAATTATATAATGAAAATATTGTTGTTTTTTCTTGTTTTGAAGAATAAGAAGAAACAAAAAGATAACACGAATCACTAGAACACTTTGTTGAGTATAATACATAGAGAAGAAAATGAGCGGCGATAAAGGGGGTGGGGGTAGGGGGTGGGCAAGAGGGCAATACGAGGGTACATAATCAGAGTAAACACAAAACAACAGTAAATAATAGTTGTGTATACACATGAAATGATTATGATGAATTAGGGCGATTTGTTTTATTATTATTACTATTATTATTATTATCATCATCAGTATGATTGAAAGACAAATAAACAGACGAATAATTAATTATTCATTGATATAATCCGTAATGTTGTCTAAAAAAAAAGTGTGAAACAATATGCTAAAAGTGGATAGATGATGAAAAGGGAAAGAATAAGCGGAATGAGGCAGAAAAAGATAAACAAACAGTAAAATACATTTCCTGCTCATTTATTATGGAATAAAAGAACATAAGATCTTTTATATTTGACAGTTATTGAATGAATGACAAAAAAAATGAGATGAAACGACTACTGAAAATAAACAGCTTATATTAGTAGTATATATATAAATATATGCATTCTGTTGAAGAATACAGGAAAGGTAGTAGAGAGAAATAATAATAAATGATATACAGTATACTCTCTTTCTCTCCATATATATGTATAATTTACACATAGATTGTAGAATATAAACGGTATTTATAGTTAATGTGTAATGACTACTACTGACTCGAAGCAGATTTATACTGAAAATGAAGATACAACAAATGATAAACATGTGTATGTAAGTATGGATGTGTGTGTATTTACGAAACATAGTAAACAAAACAACGTTACATGTACACATACACACAGCAACACTATATATATATAGATCAACAGAAAGGCTTAACAACCCATTCAATTACATCATCGACGCCTTCCTTAACCATGGATACAACAGTGAATATAGATGGTGACAACAAGAAAGGTGTAAAAAATAATACAATACAATGCAATGAAATATATACTCAACAACAAAAAAGAAAATCTGAATATTGATTGGGAAAAAAAATATTAACGTGGTTACTCTGCTCTACTATCTTCACTTTCTCTAGAAACAACAATAATCTAATCAGCATGAAAACAAAAATCATTAATGATTGACTAATTGATTACGTAATTGGCAAAGGTTTTGTTTTATCCAAGAATCAATAAATAGAAAACAAAATTATATAAAAAAACAGATGGGAATAATTATATTATTATTACTATTATTCATATTATTATCAAGGTGTGGATGGTAGCTCAGCAATGTGAACAGATTCAATGAAAATGCTGATGGAAGTAAGAATAAAAAGAAGTTAGAAATGAACTTGTATAAAATTGCACTGAAATAAATCACCTATCAGATAAACGCTTTACATAAGTCACTGGGAACATTCCACGTCGACTAGGATCTGATTGAATGAAACCTTCCTATAACAAAAAAGAAATGAAAGTCAGAAATAATGCTTCGTTAAAGATTAAAATATTTATCTTAATTAGTTACGTCATATTAAACGTGGCTAAGATGAAGCCAATTGAAAAGTTTCGAATAAAACAATGTGAATGTTCTATATCCCAATGCTAGTCATAATTCATTTATTCGATCAAGTATATAGCAAAATGGATATATTGAAGTAATCTGTGCCGGACCAAAATCTCAATTTTTTGTACACGAATTAAGCAACACAATTAAACAATAAAGATATATTTCATTCGGTTACGAGGAGCATTTTATGGTTCATTAGGTATATAAGTATGAACATCAACGAGAATGGATCTAGGTACTGTTGTGAAATGGGTTTCATAAAGTTTAGGGTCACTGACATGTATAAAAAGATGAATAGTAAAGATGACCCAAAAAATATCAGGTCCAGTGTTATTATTTTTCATTTCAAAATTCCATTTAATGAAGTGATAATTCATTCACATAACGCTATCAATAATCGTTGAATCAGAAAGCGTAAAACATGGAGACTAAACCATCTCGGTATTTTGAGATGGCAACATTTAGAGAATTATGTCAACCAAAACGTGACTGTATGTAAGTTGTCTAAAATAGAAAAGGGCTAGACATATCTTTAGTTAGGGTAGCCTTTTTTGAACGGTTATAGTGGAGAACTGTATGTTACAATCAGCCTTTTATAGATAGGATAATATGACAATGAGAAAGTGACTGATATCGGGATAGTTCGTTCGATCCTTCGCTAAAAATACATTCAAATTAATAGCCACACAACTGAAAGGATTCACAAGCTCAGTAAGACACAGACTCGTTGAATATAACTCCCAGAAGTGTAATTCACAGTAGAAAAAAGTATCAAGTGTGTCTTCTGTGTAGAGTGATGTGATTTGAAGTAATAAGTCGTTTGAAAGCGTTAAGCTAACTTATTATCAAACTAACAGTGTACTACTTATATTTTGTCAGTAGCTAAAAAAACAAACTGCGAAAATTAGGCGGACAAAAGTCATGATGTTGACAATAATCATGTTATTGGTGCACTTCATAAATAAACCACTAAATGAAAAATAATATACACAATACAAAATGTGGAGGTCAAAAAAGACGACAAAATACCAGCGGTACGATCAAAATAAAATATCATGTTAAGATAAACGCGCCAAGCCTTCGCTATTTGAACGTGTATTGGGGTTACATGACCAAAATATGCTGGTGTACATTACAAAAAAAACTGTACACGCATATGAATGACAGTTTGGAATGTTGTTGATGGTAAGAACGATACATGGAAAAGCAGTAAGTTGATGAATAAATATATGTTTGTGTGTACAAGTAATGATAATTTCACCGAGTCTACAAAATCCGACATTTGACCTTATAAATTGACCACATGTCGATTTATAGGTAAAACACCCAGCCAATAATAGCGATAACAATGGTAATGATAATGGTAGTAGTAATGATATTAACTTCAATAAAATTTATGTGTTAATATTATTGAAGAAACATTACTACATATTACATAACATTTGTACGCATAACAACTAGAAACAAAATGTGTACAAAAATGAATTCTAGGCATTAGGGCCTGGTAATAACTGTTTTGATGGACACGGAATATAGAAAAACAAGTCTCTTATTTGAGTGTTTGTGAAGGGAAAGTAAGTGAAAGAACGATGTCGATCACTCTATTTACTTTTGAAATCACATCAGATCCAGTGGGTTGGTATCTGACAAAAAGTTGGCACGAATTTAGAAAATTTGGTTGGCTTTTTTCAAATTACGTCAATTGTGACGTAGGTGACACATTTCGGTCTTCTTGAATGTTATAGACAGGACATTTCGCTCCATCGAAATTTCGTGCTGGTTGACACGTATCAAATAGGGCATACCTGTAGCTTATAGGGTAATGATACTCCCTGGTGGATTCAGAAACATGCATTAACCGGCTTCACAATCTAAGATCTCATCACAGCTATTAAGTTTGTGGTTCACTGATGTTGGTGAAGTGAATGAGCACTCAGGTGAGCAAAACGAATTTATTGTTTAATGCAAAACTACACAGTGGCTTAGTAAAATATGAAAATCATACATTAAATGCATCATTTTTACATCTACTTCATTGTTCCTCTAATTCTGTTGTTATTTTGATTTCTCATCGATTTGCTTTCTGTTCTCTTTAATTCAGTCTTCTGCTACCAGGCATTCCACTTTCGATTACAGCTACATACTACTTATATCTGTCAGTAAAGTAGCATACACTACAGTAGAACTGAAGAGCTGGCGCTAATCCATCACTTTTGTCCACCTGACTGATCTCAACTATTGAAATTACTATTATATCCACAAAAATCCTTCTGATATTAATCAACATATGCTCACTAGTGACTGACTTAAACAGGTATTTCTTGGAGTTCTAATGAGAACCAGTGACCAGTGGAGTTCGACCAGATCTGTTGTGAGATAGTAATGGTGGATGTGTCGTTCGATTTTGTGAATTAGTTGAATTTAGGCATTAATACCGTTCGATGCCAGCTCAGTGGTTAAGCGCTTGCGCGAGACTGATAGATCCTGGGTTCGAATCTCGTGAAGCGGGATCGTGGGTGAGCACTGCTAATGAGTCCCACAGTAGGATGAAACGACCGTTCAGTGCTTTCAGATTTTTAACGGTGGTCTAGCTTCAATTGACACAAAAGTATTCAAAAATAACGTTGATCACTCTTTCTCCATTAACTTGAATTGAACAACGGAACACTAAAAGTTCAAACCATCGAATAGTTGCTTTATTTTGAAACATTACCAGGTTCAGAATACACATCATAGTTATTTAAATTTTACTCAATTCCATTAGTTTATCATATATGAACAAACTTAATACCATTGACGATTAACCATTTATTTTTCCACCTTCACAAATACTATACAAGACATTAATTACTATAATAGAAGTTGGATCTTTATTTTTCAAAAGAAACAAAAGAAGTCATATTGAAAAAGAAATAACCATCTAATATTAGCATCAACATTATCATCATCATCATTTAACTTACCCACCAATCATTATCTGGTCTATCGATTAATTGTATAATTTCACCACGATTAAATGTTAATTCATCTGAATTTTCCGCTTCACAATCATATAAAGCTTCTAATAGATCACCTATTTTACAATTTAATATTGATAAATTATTTGAACTTTGAATACATTTTAATGATGATGTTGAATAAAGACTGGGATCATGTTTATCTGAAAGAGAATTTAATACAATGAAGTGATCTTGGGAATGTCCACCTATATACTACGGTTAAATGAGGGATTATAGACCAGTGTAAGGAAATAGGATTAATATTTGCAGTTATTAGTTAGGGTTAGGAGTTAGATTTAAGGTTTTCATCACGAATTGACATCAGCTATAATGCCAAAACTATTTAGCCAAATGAATGAATTGATTTCGCGCCAAAAGTATACAATAGTCATATCGTAGCACACCAAGTTGATATTCTAGAAGGTTCTATCAGGTTCTGGTTAGATATAAACTCTTCGACTCCTTTAGAGCCTCTGTAGGCTTCCTCGCACCTTTTAGGAGCCGTTCAAACAAGTAATAATTCACTCGTAAAGGTTTTAATCTTCCCGTTGTTGATGTTAAGAACTGGTAACAGTCAGTTTGAAAGGACTTTCTTGCTTCGCAAGATAATGGTTATCTGAATTCAATATTTCAGTGGATAACGAGTTGGCTTTGGAAGTAGAATGCAATAAGTTCCAGTCCTGGAGTGATGATCAACATCAAGACGCGTGACTTCTAGATCACTGAGCAGAGATCCGATGGTGTTTATGTCTAACTTCAATTTATTCACTATATCACACAACCCTATCCCATTATTATTATTATTATTATTATTATTATTATTATTATTATTGTAACACATAAATATCGGTACAAGAAGGCACCAAATACATATGCGCCACACAAATTTCATTTGATATGTGTGAGGGCTGTGATACTGCCCGGGTGCCCAAACCGAAGCAGGTGGTTTTCTTAGGGGGCCACACCCCGAGCCTTCGACCTGAAGATCTGATCCACAAGGCAGTGGAGCATCGTGAGGAGATGCAGTCCCATGGTAGCCGGTGACCAACGATTGGTTCATACGCCATTTGTTCCTTCAGGATACTGGAGCCCATGTGCACCATTGATTTGGGATCCGGTTATAGCGCCGGACATTCGCTTTTCGTCCTCTCATTTTTGTAAACAACACCCCCGCCACGAGAAGGCAGTGAGTAGGACTTCCCTGGCAGGGGCTGTATACGCGTGGCCATATGAGAGCATTTCGAGAGGGGGAGCGGACTCCCCCCACTCTCGGCCGTACCAGGGCATTTGGGGGTAGCTATCTGTCTGGCATAATATATGATTGAACTCTACTGGTTACAGCTTCTCTATAGAACTAAGGGAATTGCATCCGGAAGTCAGTTACTAGTAAGTATATGATTAATAATAGTACGGGAGCCATTGTGCAGTTTTTTGAGTTCTTACAGACTACATTACGCATCAGTTTTAGTTGGAAAACCATTGAAAAGCACGACAGATTAAATAGCTGTTTCGTCCTGCTTAGAGACTCCACAGCAGGGCGTATCCATCTGTGGAAATTCAAAAATCTCCGCGAAACCTATGGTAACGTTTAGTGTTTAAAATCATTTGTATTTTATAATATTACTAGTTAGATTTTTTACACAGAGCCTAAAGAGTTATTGTTTATCAACCACAAAAAAGTGAATCGGAGCAAACTGATTTACGGCTTGTGAAACAATTAGGGATCTTATAGAAAATAGATAGAGTGTGGCTACCAGTGAAATCCATGATACGCGTTTGGTTTTGTTTGGGACTTATTTGAGAGTTGATGTCCACTTCAGGACTCGAACCCGATAACTTTAACAAACCGTTAAAAATTAAACTAACAAAGACGCCCATTTCTACATGAAGTGCTTAAACACGAATAAGAACAATAATCAAACCATTTTATTTAGAGAATTCAGCCGAACGGAGTATTCACACTTTAGCTGCAAATTTTTTCCATCGTTTTAAGGGCGATGTTCTTCTCGCATATTTATGCATATATTCATCTGATGCATAGGGTACCAAAATATATATGCGCCATATGAATCATTAACTTTGTGTGTGCGCTGGGATACCGCCCGGGTACCCTAACCAAAGCAGTTGTTTTTCTTATGGACCCCCACTCCCAGACACTTTGATCTATATGTCAAGTCCACAAGACAGTACAGTAACGTTAGGAGATGCTATCTTACGGTAGCCAGTGACCAACAACAATAGGTTCATAAGCTATTTGTTCCCACAACAATGAAAACTAAACTACCTAATGGAATATAAAAAGACTTACCATTTGTATGTTGTGATAAAGAATATTTTGAAGAATCAACTAAATGACTAGATGGATTCATTGTTGATATTTGAACTTCTTTGGTTGATACTAAAGCATCTGGGGATGATTCCGTGAAGGAAGAATCATAGAGGACAGGTAAATTTGAAGAAACTAAAACAGAACTGTTTCTATTCTAAAAAATAGAAGAATCATGGAGGAAGGGAGAAATAGGATTTGAGGTTTATCTCATATATTTCACTTCTTAGACAAAATAACAAATCTTACGAAAGGAAACAGTAAATAAACATAAATGAAACTATAAATTGGAACATTGACTAGTCTTTATTTGAAGATCGCGACTACAAACCACATGAAAATATGACGTATATGGTGAGACTACAATTTACGGATGAACTTTGAGCGACGCTAAAGCGGCCTTGAGAATGTCTAAATGAGGGTTTTATACCTGTGTGAAGAATAAGGATTGTGGTTAGAAATTATATTTAAGGTTTTCATCAAGAACTGACATCAGGTAAAATGCCAAGATGCTATTTAGCCAAATGGATAAAGAATTTCGCGCCAAAATCCGGGACCTGTTATCATAAATCTGATTGGTTCGTCCATACTTACAGCCTCGCCATATATATATATATATATATATATATATATATATATATATATATATATATCACTGAGTTGTTAGTTAACTTTTCTACTTTCAGATTCTCTCTCTCATACACTACTCTTCAAGCATGCAACCAATACCTTGGGGTCAAACACAAATCCACTTTACAGGCTGAACGTAACACATATTCCGAAATATCTTGTTAACTAGCCACAAGTGAAATGTGAAATAGGATTAGGCTCATATAGATGAAATTTATCCCTTTAAATAATGTTTATTCTTACTGGTAAATGTTATTAGACCATGGAGAACAGTTAGGTAATCTAAGATATTGATCCCAATTGGATTATGATTGAATAAAGTTAGACAAAGTAAACCAACAGGTTCCATCCATATGGTAGAGGTTGATGTCATGTATCCTAACAATGAGTTCTATAGTCAGGATGAAACACTTGATTAATGCTATACACCTTCAATGATTATTTAACTAAAATCAATTCGTGATGTAACCTAAATAATATCAATAAGGCAAAACTAAATTGCTTATTGATCTGAAAAGAACCAACAGGGAACAAAAGGTATGAACTTTACTATTTAAAAAGTGTTAGTGTTCAACCTTCAACACTAGGTAACACAAATGAACACTACCATATTTTTTGAAGTTTTTTTCACTGTACATCTGAAGATAATATCAATCCAGAGAGTGCAACTTGAAATGGCTCTTTCCTAGTTGCCTATAATCTGAAAGCTTGACTTTTATTTTTAATCGCTTGTCAGTTCCTTAGAATCACCTACACATGAGGACTGAAAGGCAGAGCGAAAGTGTGTAATAAGCACAGAATCTTTCATTCAAGGTTAGTTTACGTACAGAAAATACGTTTATTTAAAGATCTAGGTGTAGCCTTGATATTTTGAAAATTTCTGGAAGTATTTAACAATATTTAGTTAGGCAACTATTGAAAACCTGGAAGCACTGGACGGACGTCTCATCCTAGTATGGGTCTCCTCAGCAGTGTGTATCCATGACCGAACGACATGACTAAACTTACGAACGCTAGATCCCCAGACCACTAAGACCTCATCCAACGGTGTGTATCTAAATTGCGCGACCCTGATTAATTGTCTGAGAGTATAGATGTATGATATCCAACATGGTTGGACTCCGGTGGTCACAGCTTCTTACTAGAATTGCAAAATTTCAAGCAATATTTAAAACTGACTCAACCTATTAGCTTATATGTAACCATAGAGGAAACAGAAGGTCAACAGAATGAATTTATTGTATTCTACAAAACAAATGTTATTTGTTTGAATTTGTGATGTCAGGGAACCAGTTGCATGAAGCACGTCGGTTCGTATTAAATAATAAAGTTGACGAAATGTGCAACTTTTGCTGATAATTGTATAACTGTAAATCAGATACATTCGTCCGTAAATTAAATGGGGATAATCAATAGTTTTTTAAGTTGTTCAACAAAATTGTCATAAGTATAGTGGGAATTTTCAAAGTTAAGCAGTTTGAATCACGAACTGATCTTGGCTAAATCACCATTGAAAACCTGGAAGTACTGGACGGTCACTTAGTCCTAGTACGGGACTCATCAACAGTGAGCATCCATGATTGACTTTTACAGGAAATCGAACCCAGGACTATCTATCTAGCAATTAACCTCCAAACTGCTGAATCTGGATCCAATAACGCTAATGTCTAACTTCAACTAATTTACGATCTTGCGCGGTCTTGGGTTTGACACCTGGACGCGAGGTCATGAATGACAACTATTAAGGAGACCCATAACAGGACGAAATAATACAAACTATAAACCTTTTATCAGGAAAAAAAAATGCATATTTCTATTTCGTTTAACACTTTATCTGTGAGAGTTGTTCAAATCGAAGAAGATAGAATGAGGTTCGAACACCTACGACTTTATTGGCCAAAAGTTAGATGTCTAACTATAAATTCATCACTATTTTCAAAATACATACATTACTTTAGTATCAACTAACTGATTGAATCATGTACATAGAAATTACAACACACTCATTCACAGATCTACTATGCTGGATAAGAAACTGCTTATAAAAAAGAACAGATTATTGAGGTAACAGACAATAATAACGATAATAATAATCAATTATAAACATAAGGCACAATAGTTACCAGATGTGAACTTCGATTAGGTAAAGTTGAATAAATTGCATTAGATAAATAACTTGGCTTAGGTGGAATTGCAGGGGATGTGTTGATAATAGAAGTAGTAATAGGAATACAAGAGTTTTTCATTGTTGAAGACATTGTGCCAGTTTTATTAGTAGCCGTGATAGGACTAGAAGTATTGAGGGATTCAGAAATTATTGGCTTCTCCTCCAAGACATCCAAAATTATGTCAATATGATCACTAGGCAATGATTTATCATGATCAGTCGAGGCTAAACAAAATTTCCGGTGCAAAATAAGGGAAGATTTTAATAAAGAGAAAAAGAAAAACATTTAAAAGTCAAATACAGGAGAATTCATTTGTAATGTACAGTTTGGTGTTTTACATAAGAGAAATACAAAGTGTTCTCCCATGGACCCATTTGTGAATTGAAATAGTCAATACGTAGATTCTCAAGGTGACATGCATTGCTGCCAATACATACGCCCAAACTTTCTAGCTGATTCCGATAACTCCAAACAACTACAGCTCAACTGCAACACTAGAGAGAAGGGCTGAATCGAGAGTAAAAGCTTTACTCTAAGGTTAGTTTATGTATGGGAAAACGAGGATACTTGTAGAGTTACACAACATTGGGTAGTTGATAATTTTTCTTAAGAAGTCACTTTCCGTAATTATTTGATATGATGATTTAATCCAACAAGGTAATGGAGTAGAGCAACATCATGAGATGCCGATGACAAAACGACAATAAGTTCATATGCCTTTCTTTTCCCATAAGATCTAGAAGTTCTTGTACATCATTAGTTTGAAATCAGAGTTTCCCAACATTTTCTTCTGACCCCCTTCACCAATAGGTGAACTCACCGTAATCACAAACTATGTTTAACCATAGGACATTTCTTTCCATATGCACCATTTTCGCACTATGTTAAAACAGTTAATGAGATATTTTTGAGAGAGGACTGTATGGTTGTATGATGAAAACTAACTAGTTTTTCTTTTTCAAAATACCCTCAAAAGTTTGATTATTAACTAAGATGGTTTGATGATTAATTATTTACTAAACTATTTTGGTAGACAGAAACTAAAACGAACGAAAATTGTTAAGTACTTTTAAATATTTAATAAAATTGTGTTATAATTTAGACGATAAATTCTGATAATGATGAGTTTTAGTGTGTGTAGACCACCTACCTATTGAATTAATAACATGCACTTTTCAAGTCAAACGGAAATATCAAGTTTCTATGGTGAAAAAACGTGTTCATTGTTTGCATTAAGTAATCATGAAAAAAGGTGATGCATCAGTGAAAAATGGTAGCGTATCAACCTTTTAATGTTAAATTTAGGTGCAGTATCTTGGATTTAGCTGTTCATTGGAAAAAAGTTAAGGGTGGCCAAACCGAACGCGGTATCAGAGTTTGAAGTCACTAACATCTAGCCTTAGCCATGTTGGTAGATGCAGACTACTTGGTTGTGGTCTGCGTGACCATCGTAACCAATGGTTGGAGACTGTGACATGGCTCAGAATCGATCACAATTGTGTAGGTGTATACACTCTTTGTCTCCCCTTAAACCGTGAGATTAAAGTTGCTTTATATCTTTCTTTCTACAAACTAATTCTTTCTTCCTGTACCATATCCTTATACACAATATTTCTTTTATATATTATTACAATTGAAGTGACTGCTTCTATGAATTCGGTGTTCACCTTGTTGTTCTAATGAGGTATGTCAACTTGGACCGATGCATATATGTGCCTGGTCCTATGTTGTATATGACTGAGTGTTCATTTATTGATTGAATATTGCATTGAGGATTTCATTTTAAGCTGTAAAATTCCCGATATTTATTATATATCTATTCGATAAGTCATGTCTGTAGAGGACATATCTAGATAATTCATCTTATATTGGTTGTTTGAATCTTCTCATGTCATGTTTAATACTGTAATTGATCGGTCTTTCTTGTTATTATATACATTCTTATTGTATAACCATTAAGTAACTATATTATATGTATATTCATGTTCTTTTAATTATAAGCTTCCGTTTGACCTATTGACTACCAGTATAAGATTTATTATCCCTGAGTTATTCCCAATTTAATAGCTGGTCCTAAATAGAACGAAACAACGAGCATCCTGTATTCAACTTCTAGAAATTATCTATCTTTGTTTATATATTTATAGCTTTAAATGATTAAAATGGGTTCGAATCTCGCGAGATTAGGTCATGGATGCACACTACTGAGGAGTCCCATAGTAGGACGAAACGGCCATCCAGTGATTCCAGATTTTCTATGGTGATCTAGCTTCAATTGGCTCATGATCTCAACTATTAAAATGGACGGAAAGTATCAGATATTTCACTTTATTGAACAATGTAAAAAGATGGATGATTATTCTATCTTTGAATATATAAAATACTTGAAATAACGTTCAAATTTATTAACGAAATGAGTAAAAGAAAACATGAATTATTGATGGAAACATCCTGTCATCGATTTCATCTACAACAGATACCTGATGATGAAGCTAATCGATAAGAGATGAACAATTTTATTAACATTAACATGATAAAATTATAAGAAAATATTATTCAAATCTCCCACCTATTAGCCGTAAACTGTCAGTAACACCGAATAAAACGAATGACGAAATTATGTGTTTATAAAATAAAAACACCTTGTTCATGTCTCTATGTAGTGGTGCAATCACACACACACATACCCACTTGCATATATTATTGATATGATAAGTCTAAAATTATGGGTGATTTTATGAAACCGATCACAAAATAGTGCAGAGAACAATCGAAAATTATTATAAATAAATAATGAAATATATATATTGTTAATCGTAAGTTGTTTGTAGATGACTTTAGTTACTTTCTAACAACAGTTATCGCAAAATACATTATGATATATATGCCCTCACATGGCCACGTGTATATAACCGATGTCAAGGAAGTGCTACTCACTGCTTTTACGCGACACTACTGTTGTTTACGAAATTGAGAGGACGAAAAGCGAATGTCCGGTGCTTTAACCGGGTTGATGGACACGACGGGTCCGCCTATACGAGTTAGAAACTCCTGATTGCAAACCAATGGAGCATATGAGCTCCATGATCCTAAGACAACAAATGGCATATGAATCTATTGCTTGTCACCGGCTACCATAAGATAGCATCTCCTAAAGTTGCTCCACTGCCTTTTGGATTAGGTTTCTAGGTCAAAGGTTCGGGGAGTGCCCCCCTCAAGAAAACAATCTGCTTCGGTTTGGGCACCCGGGCGACATCCCAGCCCTCACACAAATCAAATGAAGCAGTGTGGCGCATACATGTTTTGTGCCTCCTTGTACCAATGGTTATGAGTTTAAACAAATTGAACAAAATAAACAGATTGAAAAGTCAATCCTAACATACCACTGACGGAAACAAATCACTAAAGAGAAAATGTTAAAGAGGGAAAATGCAAAATACTAAGTATATTATGGACGAGAGAGGCTGTTAGACAACTATTGTGAAATAGGCACAAAACTCAATACGTTTCAATATCATGCCCGAAAATCGGGCCTACACGTTCAGGTTTCTTAATTGACTGAAGAGCGAGCAAGAATCACAAAAAATTCCTATTTTTTCTGAGGAATGATACAAGAAGGCTTTTATAGGAGTTCCAAATTCTCACCTTAGCTAGTGGTCAGGGAAGAAAAGAGAATAGAAACAGTCCCATTTATTGTAATGGAATTTGGAGTCAAGAGTAAGTCTAGCAGAGCAAACAAACCTAACAGATCTTGAAAGAACCTGTTAATTTCATCAATTATATGCAGCTTTCCGTGTCTACTTTGGTCAAAGCCAAAGTGAGGGAAATGATCATGATATCTATGCTAAGTTCATCACATCACAGAGGATCGAACTTAGGACCTCCGATAGAGCTCCCAAATACTTAACCTTTAGACCACTGGGTCAGCATCCAACGAAGTTTGTGTCTAACTTCAATCAATCCATGATATTGCGTGACCATCTTTCATTATCTTCATTCAACACACACCACAGATAAGAAAAAAATTCTCCAGTTGCTTTCCTAGTTTCCGATATTCATCTAACTAAAATCAAACCGTGGTGTACACGATCGAATTACGTTTTCAGAAAACAAACATATTATTATCAGTACAGGGTTGTACAGATTGTTGAATTTTAATTGAGATCATGGACCGATCAATGTTAGACCACCACTGAAAAATTGAAAGTACTGGAAGGCCGTATTGTCTTAGTACGGGGTTCCTTAGTGGTGCACATCCACGATCGTGCACGTGAGACTAGAACCCAGGATCTTCAGTCTTGTACACGAACGCTTAACCACTAGATCACTGAGCCATGACTGATGGAGTTCAAACGTGGCAAGTGTGAGGCAATTAATCGCCGAAGACAATGGAAGATGGTCGCGCAATATCTTAAACGTATTATTAGTTACATATATACTATGAAGACAACTTACAACATGATGTACCACTATTATCCAACCGATTGAAAGTACTCCAAAACTATGAAAATGATAAAAAAAAACAAAGTATACGATGAATATTTAAGGTACATATCAACAAAATAATAATAATAATTACTCGAATCAACAGAAAAACGATGAACAATGAATCAAAAGCTTAGTAGTGCATTGTATCAATCGTGAATATTTATATGGTCAAGAAATGAAATGGAAAGTGAAAATTGTAAGTGTTTCAAATTTTGAAACCGATAACAAGTGTATTTTTGTATAGTTATTACGTCGAATGAAGTGAATATACAGACATATACATACATATAGTGTAACCCACCTCGGATTTAAAACCCTGAAATGCCATTTCTTTTATGAACATGGTAACCTAATGTAAAACAATGAGTAGAATTCATGAAACAAAGCGTTATTTACACCCGTTTATGATTAATCTGATCAAAAATGAAGTTGGAATCATTGGGCACATAATCAATCATTAACAACTGAACAAAACGAAAACTGATGATTACTTACACCAGTACTGTTAATTGGCATTCCACCCCGATCATTCATTTGATCATCTACAGATGGCGGACGAGGTGCGGGACCTTTTTTGCGTGGTAGTGTCGCCAGTGCACTACCATAATGAATTGAAGGTGAGTGTTGACTGTAAGCTAGATAATAAAGAAGATGAAATGATAATAGTAGCATTGACGTCAATAAGTTTATTAATTTAAAGTTTAATGCAAACTATTGTGTTGGATGGTCGCCTGATTCTGTATGAGATCCTAACCTACTACTAGAACGAGAAGATATATAATGAACAGGAAGCTTTGCTGGTAAATCTGAATCAAAATATGTATACAACTTCTCATTATATATATATATATATATATATATATATATATATATATATATATATATATATATATATATATATATATATATATATATATATATATATATATATATATATATATATAGAAAGCATCCACTACACGATCGGATTGGCTCAACTTATTACAAACAAACTGAAAGCACTAGATTTCAACTAACAGTAAGTTTTCAAATGCGGTGATGATCAGAATGTGTAAGATTTATGATATAGGCAGATAATGCGCTATGCGTGATAACCACAAACAGTGATTGAGGACGTTGGGTGACAGCATAGAATGAATCATAATGGCACATAAGAATTTGTCACTCTTTATCTTACTCTGGACCTTAAGTCTCAGTATTCCTTCACATGTACCATTGCATAACATGTTCTCAATATTTAGTCTTTCTCATTATCACTGCTACTAGATTAGTCCAATGTTCTTTGCTATTCATCCTATTAATTTCATTAGTTCATGCTAATATGGTTTGACATATTGAATAAGTGTACACATTTATGTCAGGTTTTATGTTGATTATGACTAGTTGAATGAAAGATAAGTAGATTATTGTTGAGTCTAAATGTTGATTAAAAATAGTTAATAAGGGAAATACGCTACTCTAACACTTTCAATTATTTGAATTCTTAACTTGTGAATTATAAACTTAATATCATTTGGTCCAGAAGGACAATTCTATAGTGTGAACAACTCAGAAGAAACAATAGCCCACATAACTCCTTCTAACAATACGGGAGATTATCTGGTTTATTATTAAATTCTTTATTCACTTCATAATATTACTTCTATCTCTGATATCGACTTTCCCTTCCCACAGCTTTAAATCTACTTTTGCCAGTGCTAACGATGGACGTTCAGACGAGGAAATTGCATCAGGTTGATTCAAGAAAATCTCTAACAGTTAATTTGAGTTTTATTGATAGATATAAACAATGTTTAGTTGGGGTGGAATAGGCATACTAAACATGATCAGTGGTTAAAGATGTTTGTTTTTTGTATCTTAGTGAATAAAATGAGTAAAATATGAGCAAATATTATGTAAATTTGCATAGTAGAGTAGAAAGAAAAACACTTACATCGTGTAGGTTTATTTAATGAAGATGGTGTGACATTGTTACCTCTAGTAAATATATTTTCATCAAAAGTTATTTGTTTTCCAGTTGAATTTGGTTTCTGTGTATACGATTCACATGGATTACGAGTAGAAATCTACAGTTGTAGTTAATTAATTTTTTTCCCATTCCAGAGTGGATGCACAACACAAAAAAGAAGAGGAAGGTAGATGTAGATGTTATCAAAAAAGATTTGCTACATAAAAAAAACACAATAAGAATTGCATTAACATCATAACTATTAAAAAGCTGAAAGAACAGAGTATTTGTTATGTCCTAGTATGGGACTACTCAGCAGCGAGCATCCACAACTGTACAACCGACGATCGAGCCTGGGGCCTTCGGTTTTACGTGCAATGACCCAGGACTAAATGGTGTACAAGTTTAGCTTCAATCAATCCATGATATTGAGCGATTATCTTCAATTGTCTTTGGTGGGTACCTCAATCACATCCGACATGATTTTATATCAGCTGGTCACGAATTTTCACTAGAGCTCTGAAAATCTCCCTTCAAAGCAAGTCACTAGTAAGCACATGATAATTGCAGGTATGGGGATGTCAAGACTGCTGCACTTCGGCTAACTCAAATCCCATTAGTCAATGTATTGTGAACATTTGCTGATTTATTTGATCTATGCAAAAGACAATAACATATATGTCAGCTATTTCATAAATTCATGATGACTAAAACAATAAAAATCAGTTAATTCTTAAAACGTTCACAATTGAAAAAGACGTAGAAGATTAATAGTAGTTATAAGTAGTACAGTTACTTTGTTCACTTATTATGAAATTGTTTTGAGATAATAGAGAATGATTTACAGCTCCGGATGAGTATTCCATGAGTATTTCATGTCCAGCTATCTGAATAGTTTAGTTATGAAAATTTTCAATGTATGTGTTCTTCTTTTTTAGAAAAAGTATGTGATAATCATATTATCTGGGAAGAAATTATATTTTTACGACTGAACCATACAGTTCAGAGAATGTAACAAATTCAAAATGTAATAATTTATTAAGCTTAAGGTTGTCATTTCTAGTAAATTTTTGTACTGTTAACAAAATTTGAGTAAACTTGTAACCACCTTTATTTATTTGAACATGTAAATATTGGTACAAAGGGGTACCGAATACATACACACAAGTCACTTGGTTTGTGTATAAGCTATGATACTGCCCGGGTAGTGGTTTTCTTAGGAGACCACTCCCCGAACCTTTGACCTAGAAACATAATCCACAAGGCAGTGGAGCAACTTTAAGAGATTCTATCTTATGGTATTCGGTGATCATCATTAGATTAATATGCCATTTGTTGTCTTAGGATCACGGAGCTGATGTGCTCCATTGGTTTGGAATCAGAGTTTTTCAACTACCCTAGGTGAACCCTGCGTGTCCAACAATCCGGTTAAAGGGCCAGACATTAGCTTTACGTCCTCTTATTCATGAAGTATTACTCACAAAGTGGGGCGACTCTACTCTCCCTCACGAAATGCTCTCATATGGCCACTTATATATAGCATCTGCCAGGGAAGAGCCTAACCACTCTCTTCTCGAGCCATAGGTGTTGTCTGCAAATTCATAGAACAAAAAGTGAATGTCCGGGGATAGGGAATAAAGCCAAGTTGGTGGGTACGGAGCATCCACGTAAAGGAGTAAAAAAAACCTGATTCCAAACTAGTGGTGCACATAATTTTCAGGATCCTAAAAGAACAAATAGCGTATGAACCTATTGTTGACCATCGACCACCGTATGGTCAAGTCTCCTAACATTGTTTCACTGTTTTGTTCTTGGATTAAACCTCTAGATCAAAGGTTTGTTTAGGGACTTCCTAAGAAAACTACCTACTTCAATGTCGGCTGCCGAACAGTATTCCAACTACCTTTGTGTATCACATATATCTTTTTTGTTTAAATAAATAAATAAATATAATAAATTACTCACCAATTGATTAACACATTTCATTATAGGAGATAATGAAAATGTTCCTAATTGATCATTATTATTATGAGATGTTTCTAATTTATTTGAAATAGGTACATTTGTAATACTTGGTGTACTAGCTGTAACCAATGTATTTGTATTCATTGTTGTTATCTTTTTATCTATATTCTCTTTATATAAATAATGATTTTTTTCATTATTTATTAATTGAACTATTGATGTTGTCAATGATGTCGATGATGTTGTTGTTGATGCTGATGCTGTTGTTGCTGATGATGTTATTGTTGATGAGATATTTAATGGATACCAATTGATTGAATTTAATTGATTTAATAATTCTATTAAATTATTACGATAATTTGATAATTTATCAATAGATCCATTTGTATTAGAAAATAATGAACCAATAGAATCAGTAATTAAACAATTATTTTTACATGAGATATTAGATGCAATCAAATCAGCTAGTTTAAGAATATGTTGACAATTTTTATATGCATCTAATAACAATATATTATTATTATTAGCAGTAGTAGTATTTAATTTGTATTGTAATATTGCATTTTCTACAATATCTAATGCTGTTTGACCATTATGATTAGTTAATTGGAGTATCTGTAGAAGAGAGAGAGAGGGGGGGTATAGAGAAGGAAGTATAAAACACGTATATTAAAAAAAAATTGACTGACTGTAAACAGGTACTCTTATTTAAAATGTGAATCGATTCAGTGCCAGTTATTTATGATGAAGTCAGTCACTCAGCTACAACGTAGAACCAGGCACATATATGCATCGGTCCAGGTTGATATACCTCAGTAGCACAACAAGATCAACACCAAATTTATAAAAATAGTCACTTGAATGGTAGTAATGTATAAAACAAATATTGTGTATAAGGATATAGTACAGGAAGAAAGAATTAGTTTGTAGAAAGAAAGATATAAAGCAGTTTCAATCTCACGGTTTAAGAGAAGACAAAGTGCGTATCCACCTACGTCATTGTGATCGATTCTGAGTCATGTCACCCAGAGTATCCGACCATTGGATACGATAGTCACGCGGTTCTCAACCAATTAGTCTGATGAAAGTAGAGTCCGGAACAAAAATGTGCTACCATACCACATTGAGACGATGAAATGCGTCTTCTTTTAAAAATAGACAAGCTGAACAAACAAATACTTCCTTTCAATTATTTTTTCATCAGGGTTCTATGCTAATATGATGCTCACGTTTCACGAACTGCACAGTATACTCATCCCTTAGTTGATAGACAGATAATCTCGCCTTAATTATAAGTGACGTAAGTTAGCAAAAGCCAAACGAGCTTTCTGAATCCGTGCAAAGATTTCCTCTAACACCAACCCATTAGGGCTGATCCGACTTCTAAGATAAGTGAGGTTATCGATGCATTCGACTATTTCACTCACTATCCTTAGTTCAGCTGTTGACGTGGGCCAGTCCTGAAGCGACAATTTGCATTTACAGAGGTAGAAACGCATTCCAAACATCCTGGAATTCTTGCTCAGTGCTACCAAAAGACACAGCACTATCAGAGTCTTCACCTAACAAGCCTATATCATCTGCATATTCTAGATCAATGGGTGAACCTCCTGGTAGGGGATCAATTCCCGAAAATTCAAATGACGAAAGCGTTATTTCCAGCATTAGGTCTATGATGAAATTAAACAAAAATAGAGATAGACAGCCATGTGGGACATCACTTGAGGTTGCAAAATCAGATGACAGTTCGCCGTAGTAGTGTTCGTGTAAAGAGCCTTCACAAGGTTTATGTATTTCTGAGGTACACCTTTCAATTATAGACAATGCCACAGAACCTCTAGGTTTACAGGGTTAAATGTTGCTTTTAAGTCACTTCAACAATGTAATCAGTAGTTAGTTACACAATGTTTGTAAAATTAAAATTGAAACTAGGGTGCATTTTCGTAATCAGTTAATTATTACTAGTAGTTACATAAGTGTAGGAATCGAAATTGAAATAGGACGTCAATGTAAATATTATTTTTGTTAACTGTGAGACTGATTTCTAATTCTAATTTTACGTAACATATTTAATAATCTTATTACCTCATTTTCACTGCGCTAATTAATTATAGACCAATTACTCAGTTTTGTTTTACTTATGACTTAATCAAATACACAATGTCATATCTGATATGTATTGCTGTGCAGTCAGGTTTTTAATGTATATTATCGAATTTATTTCTAGCTATAAAGAATAGAGAGGCTAGATTGTTAATATAAGATAGATCTGGCTGTCATATTCGTGTTCTGAATGATTATTAAAGTACGTATGTGTTGAACCGTTAAGGATAAGGAATTCGCAGCCGTTGAGATATTGTGGTCAGAAGAAAGTTATACTGTCACTAGATAGAGAGAATGTCTATGATGCGATTAGACATAAACTGAACAAACCATTAAACGATACCTATAATCTGACCATTCTATAATTAGTAACCCGATCGTGCTGACAGTAATGTAACAATATGAGATAACAAGCTCATCGATGTGTTTAGATATCATGTAGCTAAAACACAACAGAAAAAAAAATAGATACTTACTGGTGTTGGAATCCCACCAGCTTGAACAATTAATTTTAATGCATCCACACAACCATAACGAGCGGCATGATGCAATGCTGTATCACCCAATTTATTGGCACGTTTTAAACTACCTCTTCAAATGTAAATATACAACACAAATATCAGATAAAAAGTTAAAAGAACACTTATAATTGTAATTTGAACAAACAAGACATTATCTAAGATTTCTCTTAAAATAGAGAAGTAGATTAAAAAGCGAAATAAAATGTACGAAAATGAAACAGATCAACTCAACACTGGAAGTCTCCAATCACTAATCATATGAATATATATAGACTTTGATCTTGATTGGTTATTATTAACATTTGTGCCTTATTGTTGTTTACATATTTGTTTTAATTGCCACCCCTTTTGACTTGATTCTCGAAATGTTACCTCCGAACGAAGAATAAAAGAATGGTAACATCTAGGAATTATTTATGGGCTACTATTAGATATATTCTTATTGGATGACTATGAAGTAACTAGATTATATGAATATCCATATTCCTTTTACCATAAAACAGGTTGATAAATTGTATTTTCTCTCTTTTGAATACAATTTGAAGGTAGTTGAAATATGCCAATAGTTCACTCTTTACTGAAGTTAGTGCCAATGATGTGGCATAAACAGGCCCCGATGATTAAACCACTCTGAGATCAGTGAACGAAACGTTACCACAATTTTTGATTATGGGTGATATGATATAAAAGTCGTTCACTCTTGAATATCGTGTTAAAGCAATCCTTTTCTTGATTCTGACTGGTGTATCCCTGTACTATACTTTCATTACACGTTATAGTTCAACGTAAACCCTATCGAAAAAATATTGAGTTTAAAAAAATTGAAACTGCATTTAAGAAATACAGAAAGACATGTAGAATTGTACGGATCAATTTCAGAAAGTCACAACCTTGATTTGTGAACAAAGTTAGAGGTTAACTAATTCACATGCATTTATTAAAGGGGGGTAGCGACTAGGATTGGAATCAATGACGTGAGTTTCATCCTATATGGGGCCCGTAAACCGGATGTGCCTGTGTCTTAGTGTTGATATTTACGAGAAAAAATACGAATGTTTCCAAACCCAATTCCTATCTGTTGCATAAATCATTAGTAAGCTACTCATCGTTTCAAGTATCCATTAAGTTAATGAGTTAAGATAGCTATTGACTGAATGAATTAATTTAAGTTCTTACACATTAATCTACAACCGCTGAGCAGATTATTGGCTATCTAGCCTCAGTAGGCTAAATGAATACCACAATAGTTGCTTAAAGTGAAGTTCAAGTCGTGATGTGAACATCAACACAGGGATATCGAAAATATATCCAGCTTAAGAAAACAAAGTAGGACGAAATTTGCGTCCTGGATTCCACTACAGGCCACAATCCACCTTTAATTTTTAAAAAAACCTTGTAACTTAATAGTTATATCAAGGATACACAAATAACAATACAAAAACTGATCAATTCCAGTCCTTAATATAAGACTGTAGGAAATTAGGATACAATTTAAACAGAATTCACAGACAGTTTACAATAGCTTACTCATACAACATGCAGTATACACACAAACATACACACGACATCACTATTCATCCATTCAAAGTGGGGGAAAAAGTTTGTTGTAAAATGAGAGAAAAGGAAGGATCAACAGCCCCCTTCCTTAAAAAAAACGACATCGGATCAATTTACAAAACAGTAATATATATACAGGAAATTTTTCACAAACAAAAAAAAAACAAGTTGCCTATAAATAAACAAAAACATATCGAAATGTATAAATGCAGACATACACATGTAAGTAAATTGGTACATAGTCTCTGTGTATCTAAAGCCTGTGTTTTACATTTACGAAATCGAGTCAATGATTCATTACCACTAATCAAACGTTTCTCTTAAGAGAAAAAAACGCACAGTGAGAATGTGTATTAAGTGGAAAAATATAAATATCCTAAAGTATGAAGTAGGGGATGATTTTCGTTGGTCATTCATGAGTGTTACATCTGAACGAAGAAAACGTGAATGGCAACTATTACTACATATATCAGGGCTAGGTGAGAGGGACCAATTAGGATTCCGAGTTGACGTATGGCTGCTCGTGCTGGTTAATTGTCTGTCAACCAATACCAAGTTCAGAATCTTTAATACGAACATTAAGACAGTTCTACTTTATGGAATTGAATCATGGAGAACTACTTCAACCACCATCTTACGAGTGCACGCATTTATAACCAATTGTCTGCGCAAATTATTCCAAATCCCTAGGCCAAGCACCATCAACAACATCTACTTCCAGGTCAGCAGGAAAGTAAGAAAAGACACTGTAGGTGGATAGAACATGCATTACGGAGATCATCGAACTGAATCAAGAGGCAAGTGCTAACTCGGTATCTTAAAGGTGAAAGGTAAAGAGGAAGACTGAGGAACACGTTGAGTCGAAAATTGGAAGCAGACATGAATGAATGTAAACAACTAGGAAGGAGAGCTCAGGACAGGGTTGCTTGGAGAATTCCGGTTGGCAGCTTCTGCTCCTCCACGAAAGATTACAGGCGCAAGTAGTATCACACCAGTATAGAATTATGAATTGAACTGTACACTAGCAGTTTATCCACTTGTTGTCACTTTGTTCTGTACTGAATATTGAGTATGTAAGTGTGAGAGAAACTGTATCCTGAACTGAAAGGCGCTAAGTATTGATCTCGATTGTCATCTCACTATCATTGAGTTATTGATCGAAAAGAAAATGATTGGTCCTATACAGATAATCTACAAGAATTAATCAATAATCAAACTATATAAAACTCTAATCAAATAATAATGACCTGATCACACAACACTCAATACCAATTTAAGTACATCTACGATTTTTGACATTACATATACAACAAAGGAATAATAAAAACAGAAAAAAAAGAAACGGGATAAACTCACGATGAAGAATTTTGTAAGATGAATTCCACTAATGGTAAATTATTATGTGGTGATTTTTCAAATTCATGATTATCAATTACACTCCATGTTGTTGCTTGACGATTACTACTATTATCAAAATTTAAAAATGATTCAGTTATTTGTTGTTGTTGTTCACTTAAATCGGATATATTAACTTTGTTTCCATAAAAATAATTTGATTTGGATTTTATTAAAAATTTACTAGTTTTCTCAACAGCTATATGTAATGCAGTTGTTCCAGGCAAAAGTGAATAAGAATCATCATCATTATCTTCTGGTTGAAATGGTGTCATAAGATCTAGTCGTTCAGCAAATACCTATGAACATAACGAGAAAAAATAATGAAGTGATGAATTAAAATGACTTGATTAATCCAATAATCAGTAAGCATAATTGAGCCATTTAGTTATTATCAACGTGGAACCTGGTACATATGTGCTTGACCAAAGTTAAATAGTTGAAATTACTTAGTAGTAGTAGTATTGAACATTGAAAATATGGTTCACGAAGACAGGAAAAAAGAATGCATGAAGGAATATTAGGTATTTATTTATTTATTTATTTTAACACATAAGTATAGGTACAGGGAGGCACCAAATACATATGCGCCACACGAATCTCAATTGATAAGTGTGAGGGCTGTGATACTGCACGGGTGCCCAAACCGAAGCAGGTGGTTTTCTTAGGGGGCCACACCCCGAGCCTTCGACCTGGACGTCTGACCCACAAGGCAGTGGAGCATCGTGAGGAGATGCAGTCCCATGGTAGCCGGTGACCAACGATTGGTTCATACGCCATTTGTTCCTTCAGGATATTGGAGCCCATGTGCACCATTGATTTGAGGTCCGGTTAAAGCGCCGGACATTCGCTTTTCGTCCTCTCATTTTTGTTAACAACACCCCCGCCACGAGAAGGCAGTGAGTAGGACTTCCCTGGCAGAGGCTATATACGCATGGCCATATGAGAGCATTTCGAGAGGGAGAGCGAACTCTCCCCACTCTCGGCCGTACCAGGGCATTTGGGGGCTTTATTTATTTATTTTAACACATAAGTATAGGTACAGGGAGGCACCATATACATATGCGCCACATCAAGAGTGATGTGACGTTTTAGTTTGGTTGTCTCTAAATCTCTTTCAAATAGTAGTTTACTTACAGGAGCACCTCATCAAATGTGGGCAGATTGCCCCGAAAGAATTATTCCACAAAAATAATCTACACGGTAAAATATATGGAAGCAAAGAGAGGAGTTTGAATCGAAAACTTATGCACTGTACTGGTGAGGTATTGTAGATTCACTCAAACCCTAAATTTCCATGCCGAAGCAACACGTACAACCCTTCATTCTTCCATGAGCTTGATTCTCTTCTGCAGTACATTTCGGTCTTAATTTTGTTTCTATAATTACTTTGTACTTATTTAAAGCTTTTATTTTAAGCAGACATGGATAGTCAATAGGAGTGGAATTCGCAACGCGCCGTTACGTTCCATTTCTGTTTCGTCAGCTTGATGTACCTACCACATCCAAGAGTTGACGTTCACTCTTAGATAAGAATATATCTATTTAGCTACTGAGTTCAGATAACCACTGTCTTGTTCAATGGAATGAATTTTCATTACATTTGTTTATATCTCCCCACTGTTGTTTAGAACTGTGATCAGTTATGATTTATCCTCTAACGAATTCCCGTGATTACTGTTTAATTGCTAGGTGGACAATCACCACGCATATTTGTAACCTGTAAAATATTTTCATTCCATTCTATACTTTAACCGACCACAATCAGCATGTAAACTTTTCTTTTGGTATTTGAATAATAAATCACTATATGATGTAATCTCTTTTTTATTCTTCTACAGACTCATATATTTATCAAACAATTAAACATAAGAATATGAAGCTTAAGTAAATGATTTTATAGAAAGCATTGATTGAAGTTGGACTTTTACAACGCTGCATACTGATTCCGTGGTGAAGCGTCTTTGCGCGAGACCTAAAGTCCTGGGTTCGAGTCCCGCGTGCGGAACCGTAGACGCGTACTGGTGATGAGTCCCTTACTAAAACGAAACAACCTTCCGGTGCTTCCAGTTTCTCAATGGCAGTCAAACTTAAATCAGTTCGTGAGAGCAATGACTGTAATTTCTTCTCACTGATTTCTCCCTGATTTTCATTTATTTATTGACACCATGAATTACAATAATTATTCATCAGTTATCATTAATACTAGTCATTATCTTACCTGAATAAGTAATGATAAATTACCGGTTTTTACTGCTCTTAACAGATCACGTCTTAAGAATCGTTCTGCAATAGGATCACGAGTAGTTGAAATATCATCTGAGAAAGATTTATTATTGTTCGTATTATAATCTAATGAATTCGATGTTACAATTAATGAATCCGATGTTGTTTTCGTTATAAAACGTCGATCAACATATTTTGATTTAATAAAATTACGTCTTTGTGTCATCCCATCAGTTGGGTCTCTAAAAATTAAAAAAGTAGAAATGATTCGAATTGAAGATTGATATAACAGAAGGTTTGAAATATTTCTCACTCTTGAGTACACTACGATATTACGTTAATACGACAATAAAAGTAGTTACGTTATATCAGATCCAGAAGAGAGAACCAAAGTATAAACCAGATAATACAGTGAGACTAAAATATGTAGACGACCTGTGTATGTTGAGGCTTACTGATGCAGAACTTGCTGCTACACTGGTTGTTTTCATATTCATGTGTTCATGTGTAGGGGATGTCTGGTGGGTTCGGTTGAGTTAGTGTATTCAAGAGTTCATCAAAGTGTCCGGCCCACATGTCCCTCTATTCTTGAATTTCAGTGACTGGCTTGCCTTTTTTGTTCTTGACTGGTCACTGTGTTTTACAATATTATTTTGCTAGTTTACTCGTTATATCATATAATTGTCTCATAATTCCATCTATCGCAGCTTTTTCCACTGTCATTGCTAGGTCTTTCACGTACTTTCGCATGTCCGCTCTAATGTACCTCTTCACTTGCATGTTTGCTTCTGTGTATTCGGTCTATGTCTTGGCTTTCTCTACTCTTGTTCAACTGCTGTTAATTGTTGTCTTCTTATTCTTAATTTCTTAAATCCTGCCTAGGTTTTCGATAGAGATGCATTCTTTATGAAGGCGCTTCTTTCAGCTCAGCACCTAGTACGTTGAAGTTAGTACTTCATAACGAAAGTGAATAATCAAAATAACTTTATACCTTATTCACTACCTCAAGATCTCGGACCCTATTTAAGTGTAATATTGATATGTAGTTTCCATTTTCCAGCTCTCCCTCCTAGGAGAACTCTTCGAACCCATCAACCAGGTCTAAGTGATGGAATTTCATATCTCGTCCATTTAGTTTTATAAGCAACAACCGACGGCACATGAATGCATGAAGTAGGACTTTCATGACAGGGACTTAAAAGCTCATAACCCCATAAAAGCGTTTTGACAGGTAGAGTTTACTGTCCTATCCGGGGATTCAGTTGCAATAAATAATATGAAAATTATTTTATCTTCCTCTATTTGCCCTTCATTTAAAAGATTTTATGGACAGAGCCAGGAGATTAAAAACTAATAAATTTATTTTCATAGAAGAAATAATACAGGTATGCTTAAGTACGTAACAAAACATTCATATTTCAAATTCTACTTACGTAACAGAATCTATAGCGTTCGGTTTACTTTCTGCAGGCAAACTAGACTCATATACACTATTAAACAGTTGATTCCCGATGAATCGAGGTAACTGAAATAATTGGGAGAAAAAAGAGGCAACATCAAAAACAAGTAAGATTACAATTGTGAACTAATTGTTAGTAGAATTTTAATCTGGATTCGAATTCAGAACGCGCGTTTTGTCCCATCTGGGACTCGTCAGCTGGATGTCCCTGCATCTCCGAATCGATGTTCACTTTGGGACCCGAACCCAGTACAACTCGCTTCAAACGCCATCGCGTTATCCACTTAGCTACAGAGTCCTGATAACCACCTGCTTGTGCAATGGGGTGAAGTTTTAAGTTCACTTGATGTTGTTTACTTGTATCTTCCCACTGTTCTTTAGGTCCTGAATAACAATCATGTGGCTATCAGGACTCATTAGCTAAGTGGGTAACGCGGTGGCGTTTGAAGCAAACGGTACTGCGTTTGAATACCATAGAGAACATGAACTCTGAGATGTAGGTACATCCAACTGACCAGTCGCAAATAGAACGAAACGAGCGTCAAAGTGGATTCACTGTTAGCCACTACCCATCTTTGCTTATAAAGCTTGTGAACCAAGGCAATATCGAGGCAGTCCGCACAGGATTCACATAACCCAATAAAAGACTGATCAACTGCAGTCCTAAATAACAATGGGAAAATACAAGTAAACAACATCAAGTGAATTTAAACTGGATTGTTTCAAAAATTAGGTTGATTTTTAAAGGATATTCAATAATTGTAAAAGAAATTTGGTACGGACAGTACAACTGTGGGTATTATTGAACTTAAATTTTAATAGACAACTACATCGAATCGTATTCAATTTGGACCAACTACCTATAGTCTAACTGTGCATTTTGGAATGTTAGTTGAGGCAAAATCGTGATGAAAACTGTTACCCAAAATCCCTAACCCTTACTAAGAAGGGTTCAGGAACTCAATTACGGATCGAGGAACCTGTAGAAGACTTTAATAGGTTCATTGATTATGTGAAATCTCTTTACGCTCTGCAATATCATTGTTTTTTTTCTAGAAAATATGGATCTACCAAAGTTGCTTTCTAGTTGGCTAAAACCTGGTCGAAAATTTTTTGCTCATTCTTAAGCGATTCACTTATTGGTCATCTTTTATAGGTACTCAATGACTAACGCTCCATTGTTATCTATAGTCATGTACTATAATTACAACAAAATTCACTATCTCCACTAATGATCTTTTACAGATTAGTTCCTCTACTTGATTAAAAAGTACTCGATCAAAATCAGTGCATTGATTCAAGTTAGACATTATTTATTTATTTGAACACAAATATTGGTACAAGAGGGCACAAAATATATCTGCGCCACACAAATTTTTATTTTATTTGTGCGTGGGCTGTGATACTGCTCGGGTGCCCGGACCGAAGAAAGTGGTTTCCTTAGGGAGCCACACCCCGAGCCTTTGACCTAAAGGTCTAACCCACAAGGCAGTGGAGCATCGTAAGGAGATGCAGTCTCATGGTAGCCGGTGACCAACGATTGGTTCATACGCCATTTGTTCCTTCAGGATATTGGAGCCCATGTGCACCATTGGTTTGGGATCCGGTTAAAGCGCCGGACATTTGCTTTTCGTCCTCTCATTTTCGTAAACAACACCCCCACCACGAGAAGGCAGTGAGTAGGACTTCCCTGGCAGAGGCTATATACGCGTGGCCATGTGAGAGCAGTTCGAGAGGGAGAGCGGACTCTCCCCACTCTCGGTCGTACCAGGGCATTTGGGGGCAAAGTTAGACATTAACACCACTGAATGCGGGTTTGTGAATGTGCACTACCGCTGAATAGTTCGATGCTACAACGAAACGGCTGTCTAGTGCTTCTTGGTCTTTAATGATGGTTTAATCTAGATCGGTTCAGGATTTCAGTGTCTATACGGTTTAAATGTATAGTTGTTTTATGACATTTATAAGCATAACTCTTTAAAACACCATATTTATTTTACGAAACCAGTATATGATATGAAATCAACGTATGAACTAGAACAGAATTTAATAAGGATTGTTTATTAACCAGGATTCACTCAGTACACCAGGTTTTTTTTTTCATTAACAGAATGCCTTGTTTCTCCTCAATATGAGATATGATCAATGAAAGCTTTCAAATAAAAATTGAAAGTAGACGCATTGATGTATAAAGAATATATAATTAGATAAGTCAAAACTACCAGTAGACTGGTGGACCAGAAATCTATTAGAAGATAGAGCATAAAGTGATAACATACCAGTATATTCTAATTAGTTTTTAGAAGAAAATTTTTAATTAAACTGTAGAAAACAATTGAAACAATATCAGGAAGACGTGTCACAGTGTAAAAAGTGAGTACAACGTTGAGACTAACTGACAGTTACGTACAGCTACTATTAGCTAGAAATTTACTGATTTAAATATGTAACTTCCAAAAAAAAACATGTTATGAGAGTACACCTAGAGTTTTTTCTTATCTAGATTTGAGCCGGTTATTAATTCAACACATTTACATTTGATAATAGGGTGAATTCGTTCTTCGTCACGTAATTCTTTTGTACACAGCCATGTATCTTTAGTCCTGCTCAATGCCTTCATTCAGTGGAAGTGTTATTTACAAAGTTAAGGAAGGAGAAATTGAACATTAGGCGTTTACATTGGGGTGATGGATACAGCTGGTCCACATGTAGAGCGAGAAATTAGAAAACCAATGGTGTACATTGTATCCAAGATATTGAGAGGACAAATAGAGTATGGAGCAATTTCAGGTCATCAGTTACAATGGGATGGTATCTCGTGGCATTACTTTACTATCTTGTTGATTGGACCCGTGTGAGTGAAAGGTATGGAGTGTGGTCTCTTGAGAAAACATCAATTACTTTGGTTTGGTTACTCGAACAGTATCCCAGTCTGTACACACAAAGTAATTCTACGTGTTCATACTATATTTACAGCCAAATTATCCTACATTTTATGTGAATTACATAAATAATAGTTCTTACTATGATTTTATTATTGTGAACTAGTTGAAATATTTTTTCTTTTGAAAACGACCTAACAGAATAGGTAAGAAGTTAAGGAAAATTGCCCCCCTGGTACGGCCCAAAGTGAGGACAGTCCGCTCTCTCTATCGAAGTGCTTTCACATGGCCACGCGTATACAGCTACTGTCATGGAAGTCCTACACATTGCCTTCTAGAGGCGGGGGTATTGTTTACGAAGTTGTGAGCACGAAAAGCGAATGTGAAGCGCTTTACACGGGTTAGTGAAAATGGAGGATTCACCTAGAGGAGTTTGAAATCCCTGATTTCAAACCAATGGAGCACATAGGCTCCAGAATCCTGGGACCACAAATGGCGTATGAACCTATTGTTGGTCACTGGCTACCATGAAATAACATCTAACGTTGCTCCACTCCCTTGCGGATTGTACCTCTAGGTCAAAAGTTCGGGGTGTAGCACCTTGAGAAAACCACCTACTTGGGTTTAGGAACACAGGCAGTATCACAGCCCTCAAACAAATCGAATGACGAAATGTGATACATATTTATTTGGTGCCTCTTTGTACAAATGTTTGTGTTTATATAAAAAATAAATAAAGAGCATTTGAATAAATTGTAACATAACTTACCAATAGTTGATTAGTCGATAATTCATCCATCAATAATGATTGAGTACGTGAATGGTGTACACCTAATTCTCGATGTGCACCACAACATTCCAAACAAATTAATATACCTAGATTTACACTAACCCATTCAGGATCTTGTAAATAAAAAAAAACAGGATGGCAAAAGGTGAAAACAATAGAAGAATATAACTGACCACGGTTTTTAAAATAATTTTTAAAAAATGGTTAAGATTGAAATAATGAAATAACTTGATCGAATCTCGAAAACTTCAACAGGAAATTCTACACAAGAAGTGTAAATCAGATGAATTCTGAAGTTTCTAAGACGATTTCGACGGACTTATCCAATGTTTTAAAACCAAAAAATTGCACAGACTGAATAATCAGAAAATAGGGATACATTGATTTAAGTAAATACAACTGGATTCCTATACTCTTAAGACTTTCAATCATTGATTAACAACATAGGAGGAGGAATAATTTTGTCATGATCCTCTTCGTTTGTGTAAAATGATTTGGAGTATCAGTTAGAATTCCGGAATAAATGTTTGTCTTATAATAAAACGAAACAAAAAGTAAGTTTAATCTACTAACTACTTACTAATTGATATTTGCATCGAGCTTCGAACTTTTACTTCAAACGTCAATTGTGCGATTAAGTCCAGGTAGTAACCTAACTTGATCAATGAATCCAACTGCTAGCTACAATCTATTTATACTAAATAATTTTTGCTAAAAATCACAATATGGAAGAAATCTACATGGGATACATACATATCAACAAAGATTGATAGAAATTCAGTCGTTAATGTCAATAACGGGATAACTCAAACCCTTGTTAGTATGTGAAGCATATGCTAATTATTCTAAAGTCAATGAATGTAAATGAAGATCATCATAAATTTTAATTATTTACATCGAATAACCTAATCAGTCATTTATACACATAGTAGAATCTCACATAAATATACAATATCACATAAATAAATCGAAGACAAGTCTCAGAGTATAAGAAGTAGCCACATTAATAGAAATAATAATAGTGGCAGTAGAAAAGATTGGATATAAAAGTAAAAACACTACGACGAGATTTCGGGACTCCGGTTCCAAAGGAATGAGTGCGCCTGAGACGTTGTGAACGATTTCGAGTTATGTCACCTAAAGTATCTAGTTGTTGATTGCGATAATCACGCGGACCCACACCATGTAGTCTGGAACAACTTACACAACTCAGTCTAAATGTTCATGACTTCATTTACTGCTACTACGAATTGATCTAACCGCACCAAGCTTGCTTCCAAGCAGGACATATTGCTCTTCGAGTAAAATAGTGGGTGGATATACGTAAGAAATGCTCTAACAACTTCAGCTGATGAAGATTTACTACCTCATCAATCAATTTGGCATATTTACAGATAATTCCGTGTCTAACCTCAGTATTGCTAACTTCCTGAATCAAAAATACACAAAAATAATGCTTCAAAAACATCTATAATTGAACACTAGTAACCTACGAATATCCTATACTCTTGATGTCCAAGTCTAACACAAATAATGTAGAACGAGGTGGACTAATCAGTAGCAAACTCGTCTCTCAGTTACCAAACGGATATCTCGCCAACTTCACAAGAGACCCAAATCAACAAACGTCATTCACACTTTCTGATTTCATGTCGAGATTTTCTCAAACATCAACCCACAAGGGTTGGTGAGACTTCTAACAAAAATGAAGTTGTTAATGAACTTAACTGCTTCACACGCAATCACTAATTTCGGCGTTGATACAGACTGACTCTGAGGCAACATTTCACATTTAGAGCGAGAGGAAAAAAACACATCCTACCAGGTAAGAAAGAAACTATTTACGAAAATATTTAAGAAAACATGAATCAAGTAGTGACTAAATTATCAACTTAACAAAATTTACGACTAACCAGGCCGACCACAATCAGCGCAAACTTCATTACCAGGTGCACAGAATCGTAAAGAAGATTGAATTAATGATTTTGATGGACGCCCTTTAGACTCAGTCACATTAATACCATCTGTTGAGAAAGCATCTGCACTGTCTAAGTGACTTTCACGTGAACGACTAATTTGTGAACCACTAGTGAAAAAAAAAAGAAAACAGTTACAAATCAAGTAACTAATACATATATACCATTTATGATTGTTACATATCAGATGTTTTAAGGTAACTTTGGCTAATATTCTGATAGTGTCGTGTTTTTGATATATGAAAACTGTTTCTCAAAAGACAAAGCCATTGGAATTTTTTTCGAAATTGAACACAAAGTTGCAGACTCATTTAGTTGACAAACTTGAGTAGAATGATAACTTACAGCAAACTGGTTTTTATTACTAGAAATAAGGGTTATGGAAATTATCAAGTTTGATTAAGATCACAAACTAATTTAAGTTTAACAACCATTGAAAACCTAAACGCATTGGAAGTTCATTCCATCGTATCATAGGACTCCTCATTGGCAATGTTCGTCCATGACCCCGTAACTAGGAACCGAAATCAGGACCTTAGGTAGACAACTGTAACACATACCACACAGTCGAAACCCATTGGTCATGGCGTCACACACTAATTATCTGTACAGGGGTTTGTAGCGTTTGTTGAAGGTTACTGAGATCACAAACTGAACTAAGTTAAACAACCAACGGTAACCAATGAATATTTTAGAATCTACGTAGTTATTTTTCACATTACTTCAAAAGAAAGCTATTACGTATATTCGCACCTGTCAACCCTCGTGGAGGAATAAGCCACAGAACAGGATTCGCAAAACAACTCTGTCTTGAAAAATCCTTTCCAAATGTCACACTAGGTACATTTGATCAAACCAAAGCAGAGTGAGTTATCAACCCGTGACTTAGTGACTGAAAGTCAGACGCCTTAATCACTGAACCACTGCTCCGTACACAATAATTCACAAAAAGAGTGGTCTAATGATTCGAGGAGTTAACTTCTAACCGTTATAACATTGATTCGATTTACGCCAAAAAAACACTTCAGTTTCAATATTCTGAAAGTATTACTAGTTTATATGCAAAGTCGAGTACATAAACTAGTGAACATTAAATGAGTAACATCAAATATGAAGATTACTAAGATCCCATAGAGAAGTACATAGGTTTGAATCATATTTAAAAAAAACATTCACAAGATCAGTCAACCAATTGAAGTAGAAATCATATTTCTATATCATACACATAGAATTCGATAAATTTGGGCACCATGAATAGTATGCACCACACAAGGCAGTGGAACAATGTAAGAAGATGCTGTTCTACGGTAGCCGGTGATAACTATGAACTGGTTCATATATTGTTCCTTCCCTCACGATCTTGGACTCTTTTTATGTACGTTGGTATGTTTGGAGTCACGGTTTTCTAACTTCCCTCTCTGGGTGGACCAGTTTAAGTGTTGAAGATTCACTTTTCGTCAACTCAATTCCCTGAGCAACACTATCGTCACGTGAACATAGTGAGTTAAAGCTACCTGGCAGAGGCTATAAACCCATGATACACAAGTAATTGAGACAAAACACGTAAAGATCAATTTACATACTAACAAAATTGAAAAATATGACAAGATGATAAAAAAACAAGTTTTATTACTATTACCTAGAATCTAACAAATCATTTTCACTTCCTGGTAGACTATCCCCAAAACTATCAGATTTCACATGTTTCGAGGGATTATTATTCATAGGACTATTACCTTGACCAGTTAAAGTTGAATAGACTAAATCCATATCGGCAGCCAAGCTATCACCATTAGTAATATTACATTTATTAGTGCTCATGGGACGATTCGATGATAAATTCAGTGTTGTTTCAGACAGATCACATTGTGAATTTGTATAGTTTTCACCATTCATTGCTTTGTTAAATTCTTCTTGCATAGCATTATTTAAAATACTTATCCATCTATAATTAGAAAAGGAAATATTCAATAATAGTTAATCAACACTGTTTATTCATTTGTAAAGACTTGTATTTTTACCCCCGTTATTGATATTAAAAAATGAAATTAAACAAACCTTTATTAAGACAATTCGTATTGGTTATTACGTAGGGGCTAGGGGCTGTTTGAACTTAGCTCAGTGGATAACATGTTGAGTATTTGAATCGAAAGAGATTAAGTCTCAGGTTTCGATATGAACAACAGTACTAGGATATGACAGGTGAATCATCCAGCTGAAGAGTTCTTAATGAAACAAAACGCAAGTCGTGGATCCTACACTGCTAGATATTATCCAGTTTTATGGATGATTTGTGTTTGGCAAGTTATTGAATGAAATGGATGGATTACATGCTTATTTGTTCAAAGACTGAGAGGATAAAAATGGGACTATATGTTTTCGTTTTTACTTATAGCTGTTTGTTTAACTGTAAAGTAAGTAATGAAAACAAATATACACACACCAGAGGTATTAATACTGCATGATATATTTATTGATTACATTAGTAAGCGGTAACAATAGAATCGATCATCTAAGGCATTAGAGGATATTATTAATCACAGAGTGACAGAAATCAATCTAACTCTGTTACGTAAAACACAAATTAAGAAGCGTATATTTTCATTAAAATCATGAATCGATTAGTGATAGACCACCATTGAAAACTTGAGAAACATTGGACGGGCGTTTCGTTTTAGAATGACACTCGTCGGTGGCAGTGCGTATTCACGATTCCGTACGCGGGAATCGAACTCATGACCTTCGGTTTCACATGCGAACGCCTGTGTCCAGTGGATTCAAGTTTTCAATGGTGGTCTAACACATTGATCGGTTGGTCATTTCAATGAAACATAACAATATACTGATGAAGATTTTTTGTCAATACTCACTCTTCGTATTCTTGTTCATCTTCTGCTTGGAAGTTATATGTTCGACTATCTATGAAAATTATGAGAGGAAGAAAAAATGGTATTGCAATGATTTTCACAAATTTAAACTTCTGAACAAACCACTTAATTAACTGGGAAGCGATTTATACATTTCATGCTAAGTTGTGAAGTGATTTATATCGAGATAAGAGTTATAATAGAATTTATGATAACTTATGAGAAAAATGAACAAGAATTGGATGGAACTAGAAAAGAAGGCCCAGAACAGAGTGGGTTGGAGAATGCTGGTCGGCGGCCTATGCTCCATTGGGAGTAACAGGCGTAAGTAAGTAAGTATGTAGTCAGTAGAAATGTACAAAATGAAAAACTCTTCCACAAACTATACTGACATTTGGGTTAGTTAGTGAGAACATTGACTAAAGTTGGGGAGGGTGAAAAATTGAATTGTCGCTCGGTTTGTCTAGATGGTTAGCGAATATCCAGCGCTTTAACCAGGTTGGTGGATATGGAGGATTCACCTAGGGCAGTTGGGAAACCCTGACTCCAAACTAATGGTGCACATGGTCTCCAGGATCCTGAGACAACAAATGGCGTGTGAACTTATTGTTGGTCACCGGCAACCATGAGACTGTATCTCCTGACGTTGCTCCACTGCCTTGTGGACTGGATCTCTAGGTCAGAGGTTAGGGAAATGGTTCCCTAGGAAAACCACTTGCTTCAGTTTGGGCACCCGGGAGTATTCCATCACTCACACAAATCAAATGAAGTATGGCGCATATGTATTTGGTGCCTCCTTCAGCCAATATTTATGCGTTCAAATCATATTAATAATATTGTCTTAATAGTAGTTTACTGATCTAAAAACTTCGTGAGGCTTAATCTTGCATAACATGAATTGTCTAAATCCAAATCGTATATGAATACTGAATTTATATAAGAACTACATACAACAAAATTTCACATGTCATAATCTGAGCATATTTCAGTCAGTCATAATCAATGCACATATATGAATCGACTCACATTCCCACACTATACATCAGCAAAGAGAGATGAAAGTCAAAGTAATAACCGTAGTAGTAATAGTACTATCGGTGATAGCAAAAAACGATTAGGCACACATAACACGAATAGAGAAAAATGAATAAATTCGTGGAGTAAAAGGCATATGATAATTTAAAAACTGAATGGGTTTGCTCCGTTGTGACCGATGATGAATCATGTCACTCGTCGCCTTCAATCACTGGTTACGTTAATCGTGAGGACCCAAAAACGGGTAGTCTGTGATGTCTGTTATTCAGACGTTTACTACTGACTTTCTAGGCGCTTTCCATATCCCTCGACTACTCCTACACTTGGACACAAACAGTAATGAAAAGGCGTAAAGTAAGAATGGAAACTTAGATGGTGGTTGGAGGTAGTTGACAGGAAACCCTGGACCCGGGTTTCGTGCTACTTGGCACTCGTCAGCAAGGTGTACCTGTATCTGCACTAATAATAAGGACTAGACACGCATGACATTGGTCACCACCCAGTGATCAATCAATTGTAATGGAAACTTAACTTGAAGGTCAATCTGTGTAGAGAAATCAAGCTTATTTATTGATTTATAAATGACCTTTAACTCTGAGAAGCTTATGGAAATACACCGAATTTAGTGTCAAAAAAAAAAACAGTTGTTCAGTCAAAATGTTTCTGATATGTTTCTACTTGATGTTGATTGAACCAAACATTTTTAGCTTTCTCTAAACACTTTTGGACCTAATCGGGGAAGTATTGAGGGTTCCCCCACAATCTGCACCAGTGAAAATGACTTAGACCAAGAATCAATCTGTATATTTCACTCCTATTCAACATATTAACAAGTTCTGACGGTGCTTTTTTGGCACAGACTTGTTTGTGTGACCTGTATCTTCGATAATTTTGATTATCCATGTGAATAAACAATCACAAGATAGATGGGAGAAGTGTCGGAAATAATTAATTTCAACCGCTGAGACGTTAACAATGATGAATTCATATATATTGTTTTAATATAACACTTTTCAAATGTTTCATTTTGTTTTAAATTTATTTATTTTTCACCGTTTCCAGTTACATCTTTAATAATGATGCCAGTTAACACTACTGTTTTCGATCAATTATTTCGTATGCTAAACTGTATCACAGCATGTTTTTGCCAATTACATTAGGTCTTTATTCTGTTTGTCCCTAGAATTCTATTGGCTGACAGTCTTTTTGTAATCATATCGATAAGATGTAACTCACCTAACTAGTGCAGCTTTACGCACTAGTAATCTTTGAGCCATAATATTTATATGAGAACTTAATGATATTACCCAAATGCTGAAACCAAACTAGGAGAAGTAAGGTTTCAAACATGTAACCAATTACTGGTTGAAATTCAATTGCTTTAACCACTACGCTACTGAATTCAGTCAGTAGCGAGCTACGTTAGATTTTACGCATGTATACATCGCCTCAAATTCCCATACCCTATTGGCACAGTGAGATGAAATTTTCAGGGAAAATCCCACAGTACTAGAGTCAGTAATAGCATTATTGGAATAGAAAACGTTTTATGAGGCAATTTAGAACATTAGGGTATAAAAGAGGACAAAGAGTAAATTTACATAGCTCATTGAGAACAATTCTGACGCAAGTCACCTGTCTTCAATCATTAGTTAGAGTAATCAGCTTTTTTATGAACTCATGCAATGTACATTTGAATTGGCCACATCAAGTTTTCTTCTAACCTACCCCTACACCATCTATCATCGCGCATCGAAGTAAATAGTATATGGGCACACATAATACATATCCTAACTAAGTCAATAAAGATTCACCACCTCGTCAGTCAATGTGGCATATTTACAGATAATTCCGTGTCTAACTTCAGCATTGCTAACTTCTTGAATCCAAAATACACAAAAATAATGCTTCAAAGACATCTATAATTCAACACTAGTAACCTACGAATATCCTATACTCTTGATGTCCAAGTCTAACACAAATAACGTAGAACGATATGGGCTAATCAGCAGTAAACTCGTCTCTCAGTTACCAAACGGATATCTCACCAACTTCATGTCGAGATTTCCTCAAACATCAACCCACAAGGGCTGGTGAGACTTCTAACAAAAATGAAGTTGTCAATGAACTTAACTGCTTCACATGCAATCACTAGTTTAGGCGTTGATGCAGACTAGTTCTGAAGTGATATTTTGCATTTAGGTGGAGATAAACGCTACTGCTCCAGTAATTATATCAACAATGAAAACCATAACCATAGTAGAATATAGCGTATGAAATAAGAATAGAATAACATCATATTTACTTGAGACAAGATCAAAGTAAAGTTTTCCTTCTGAAGTTGTCGAGTGTTGATTACCACCACCACCACTACTACTACCACCCCCAGTACTATGATTTAAGATTGAATCATTATCCATAGATTCCGTAGGTAATTTAACTTGACAAGTGAGTAAAGTTAGGCGTACAGGTGGTTTACTTTCATCTGCATGATACAAACATAATTCCCCATCAGCAATGTGTACACGACGACGTTGCCAAACACGTTTAACCTGGAAAAAAAGACAGAACAACAATGATTTCATACAAATTATTACTGTGTGTATATGCGTTTGTAGTTTAGTCAATAGTTTATACATTTAATAGAATAGAAGACAATTAGAATTAAATTAACTCATTCACCAAGTTCTTGGATATGAAGCATACACTTTAAGTGTGGATGGTTGATTTATGATACTACCTCAATTGTTTAAACCGTAGTTGGATTTGAAAGCTGAGAACTAACCACTAAGTTACTACCTCACATTACAATAGAGTGAACTTTATATTCAATTAGACAGAATTATTTACGGGACATTTCAACTAGTCTTCGAGGGAACACAGAATTCACTAACCTTATCATTAGTAATTTTAAATACAATTAATGAAGAAAAAAATAGTAACAGAAAAAAACTTGGTTTTCAAAATTTAATTTTCTTAACAGTTGAATTCACGACTCGATCTCAGCTAGACCACCAATGAAAAGCTGAAAGTACTGGAAGACCGTTTCGTCCTAGTATGGGACTCCTCAGCGGTGCGCATCCACGATCACGCACGTGGAATTCGAACCCAGGACTTTCGGTCTCGTGTGCGAACACTTAACCCCTAGACCACTTCAATTGATCCATGATCTTGAGCAACTCTTCATTCATTGCCTAAGTTGGATAACTATTTCACACCCGACACGAACTGGACTACACTGGTCACTAATACTAGAATTCCGACAACTCCCCATTCTGATAAATTTTTCTATCACTGTTTTCTTTTTAAAAAGATATAATAGTCATAAGCAATATAAAACCTGGAATAGATGTGGATCGATTTAAGCTGCCATATGATACATCAACATTGAGAAATGTCAGAGTAATATGACAAGTAATAGTATTAGTGGTAATAGACAAGTTAAGCATAAATCATATATGATTCGAGGGGAGAAAATATGAAAGATATCATGCAAAACATTTCTAAATGAAACATACAGATAATTTGTCTATGGTTTCACAATAATTAAAAACAAGGTGAAGCAAAGAAAAATTGTTTTAATGTTGTAAAGTAATGAATGATTCGACTACTAAATAATTAGATTGAACATATGACTCGGCATTCGATCAATATCTTATGTATAGATCACGATACTAGATCACATGGGACTCAGATAATTAAAGTCTAATTAACAAATAAGAACCGGATATGGACTAGAATGATAGTTTATTGTGACAAAAAAATAACAATCAATCAGTATAGGCTTGTGGGGATTGTTGAGTTTGAACTGGTATCATGAATGGATGAATGCTAGAACATTATTAGAAACCTGAAAGCACAGTATGGAAACGAACCACTCAGAATCGAGGGAATGACTAACAGATTTATGCGTTAGATTGCAAAAATGAGTGGTCTTTATGTCCTACCATTCAAGACAAACAGAAGAAATAAATTTTTATAATAATTACGGAGTAGAAATGCTTTGTAGATCACATGTAACAGGTAAGTAGACACTATCCCTAAATCCTGATCGTAAACTTTGAATGCTGGAGTAAACTTTAGCCTGGTGGTATAATAATCAATGGACAAAATAGTCCGAGTTCAGATAGAGGCTCTTAGATTTAAAACCGGTGAACGGAACGAAGTTAGCAACACAACAACATGATAAGCTAAACTATTCCACTGAGCCCCAGCCCTGCTAACGAGAGGGAATGAAATTATAAAAATAAGACATTTACCAAGTGATTTCTGGAGATCTAGCATCCCCAACAAAATCATGAACCTAACACCAAGAAAAATGTAGGGACTTTCAGAGATTTATTTGGGTCCTTTACAGAGTTCAATCAGATGGATAATCTATATCCATGTAGACAAATTTAGATGTTATTTTTCTTTCGATTTACAAATAAAGAAACCATTATAGGAATTTTGTAGATTCATTAATTATGTCTAAAGCTACCTAAACTGAAATATTACCGTTTTCTTTTCAGTAAACTATCTACTTGCAAAATTTGTTTTCTGATTGGTTAAAAAGTGGTTGAAAATTTACCGCAGTTCTTTTAAGTTCATTTCCCCCCTCTACTGCACTATAATGTACTTCCACTTTATGTAGATGTACACATCTATTTAAGAAAAAAAGCAGTGCAACAAACCTTTCCATCTGATTTTTTCAATAGAAATCCACTTTTTTTAGTTCCAAATGCTCGATTCAATGGAGTTGGTTGTGCTGCATACGTGACACCAGTTTGTACTGACTAAAAATACAAAAATTGAATGAAAAGCAAAAAAATCACAAAGTGAACAATAAAGTTCTCCGTAAGAACTACGACAAACCAAGAGCAATACACCGTACTACAACAAAATTACAAATAAATTATCAAGGTACAAATGAGTCACACATTTCACGACAAAATAACAACATACTCAGTAGAAGAAAAAAATCATTTGCTGCTAAACGAATACATCATTGCACCAAAAAATAAAACGACATGATCTCCATTAATTATGAAGGAAATTATCAATTACAATATGTGAATCAATATAACATATATAATCATGGAAAAGCTTTAAGTATACTTCTATTTGTTTATTTTTTTAAAAAACACATTAACATCGGTACAAAGAAGCACCACCACACCACACAAAGTGGTTATCATTAGATTTGTATCTGGGTTGGAATACTGTCCCAGTGCCTAAACTAGGGTAGGTAGTTTTGTTTAGGAGGGCTATAACCGAGCCGTTGACCTAGATGTTTAATCTACAAGACAGTGGAGTGATGTTAGGAGATTCAGTGCCATAGTAGTCGATGACCAATAATAGGTTCATATGTCATTTGTTGTCTCAGGATCTTGAAGACCGTTTTCATCACTGGTTTAAAACCAAGGTTTCTCGACTTTTTTAGGTAGGTGTTCCGTAATCACCAAGCTAGTTTAAGACTCAGCCGGACATTCGCTTTTCGTCTTATAAACAACATGAGAAGGTATTGAGTAAGATTAGACTGCAATTAGCTGTATACGTATGGCCATATGAGAGCATTTCGAGAGGGAGAGAGAACCCTTCACATCCTTAGCTGTACCAAGACATTTGTTAAAAGTGATTTATTATGTAGCCTATATAGCCTAACAATATAATGACGTTAATTTGTTACTTCTGGTGAATCTCGTAATGATTGAAGTTTGTTGTAGTTAGTCTACGTCAACTTCAACTATACAGCTAGTTATATGCAATTTAGAAGCTAGTACATGTGTGCATCGCGTCAGTACAGTGAAATGAAATTGTCAACAAATCCCAGAATAGTAGAAGTAATAATAGTATTAGTGGTAATAGAAAATATTAGGAATAGACAATATAATTTGAAAACAATTAACTTAACGTCTTCAATCATTGGTCACGATCGTCATGTGGACCCCAACTAGCTGGTTTGCACCAGCCTACAACTTCATTAGTCAATGATTTTATGGACTAATACCACATTTTGGTTAGGCAGCCCTTAGCTTACTTCCAAATTACTCCTACACTACCTAATACCGCAAGTTGAGGTAGGTAGTGGTTAGGCATATGCAATACATGCCCCAACTATTCCAGTCGATGAATAACATTATACACAGTATTCATAGAGAACACGTATCTTTTTGCAAAAATGAATCTAGTTATGAGACCACTAACTAGTGTTTAATCAACCGTGAAGTATACTGTAAGTGTATATGAGACAAGTGCTTTGAATGGAGAAACAAGAAGTCATAAGTTCACTTTATAGTTACCCATGTAGAACAGGATAGTTGAATGTACTGAAAATACTGTTATTATTTCGCGTGTCACTCAAAACAAACATGTATGACAAAGAATTGATTAAGTTTATTACCATTTTAAAAACTGAAAGCCTCTGGAATTATAAATAACTTTGGTGACAATAGAATTTATGGACGACCTTAGAGCAACACTAAAGTGACCTTGAGAGTGAACACCTACTGATTAGGACTAAATAAAGGTTATAAACCAGTTAAAATTTTCATTTACAGTTGATGGTTAAGGTTAAAAATTAGATTTCGAGTTTTCATCACGTACTGACATAACCTAGAATGCTAAAACTCTATTTAGCCAAATGTATGAATGAATTTTGCGCCAAAATTCATAACTCATTATTTTATATCTGATTAGTTCTTCCATAAATTACAGTTTCACCATAACTTCTAAAATATCTAATGAAGGGAACCAGTGTAGTACGTCATTTACTTAATAAGAAGAAGATTAATCGCTAAAATTTACAATATCAAACAAATGAAAATGAAATCAAACGTTCAAACTTGATTTAATTCTTAACTATATTTGCATTTCATGAGAAAAGTTGTATAGTGTATAGTGCACAAATTGTCGAAATATAAATCAGTAATACTAACACTTAAATAGATACAACATATTCAAGTGATCTCAAGTGATACATAGTATGACTTATGTTAATTTCTTTGATCAATTTGATCATATTATTATGATATTAAAATCGGTAATAGATTCGTTGTACACATTTTATGACAGCGATTAGAATCTATACGGAACCATCAATGTAATGTGATCTCTTCAAAAACAGTAAAACGGATATTTTTGTTTTCTTTCCATCTAAATCCACCATGAGACCTGAATGACTTGTATCCGACGCCTTGTGTGATTGTAGATGAACACTGATACTAAGAAGTTTCATACTAAGATGAAACAGCTGTTTAGTTCTTCTGGGTATTCAATTCTTGTTTAATTAAGGTCAGTTCGTGATGTAAACTGTGAAATCCAACAGTCTTCACAACCTCCACCCATAGTAAAAACTGATTACACTGTGCAATCTGATCACAAATTACATCGCCTTAAAAACAACGACAATATATATGATAAAATCATAGAGGATTTCTGATAGAAAAGTAAATCATTACGTAATTGAAGCTCTATAAAAATTGATAAACAGAAGTATCTGAACAGCCAAACAAAAGAAAAATCAAAAAAGTATGACGGATAAACACAAACGACAAGAAACAATGAACACATAATAAATACAACAACTAACTACACCAAGGTAATCCATTAAGTAACAATGAAATTATTTCATAAGGTATTTTTTATAAGAAGTTGAGTACAACAGACAAGCACTTTCCATATAATGTACATATTTATGGGTTTAATGGTGGAGAGGGATGATTACCTGTCCGAATAGACGAGATTTCCGACGAATCGAATCACACTACATATGTACATAAGCATAAAGAACGAAAAAGTAGAAATAATTGGAAAGAAATCAATAAGAACAACGGTTATTTGTCGATTATAGATCCAGGATCTCTTAAGTAAGTATATTCAAAACAATAATAATAATAAACATAGGGTAAGATATGTAATTGTACCTATACTAGTGGCATGGATTAGAAATAATTGATGAATGTGATATCATTTAGCTATGGATAACTTTCAAAAACCAGCAATATGTCTGATGAACTTGCGGATCCAAATGTAATAAAATATTATATGTTACTGTATTTTTATGATAAATATTTGTATAGATTACTCGGAACTATCAAGCTTTATAAGCGGAGATGGATGGTAGCTAGAAGTGTAATCCAAAACCAATCAATTGAAGTCCTAAACATCAATGGGAAGATTCAAACAAACAATACAAAGATGAATTAAAGCTTCAGCAGATTCCACAAGCCAGTAACTATCTAGATTCGGCAGCTAAGTAGATAATGAGATGGCGTTTGAAGCGAACGGTACTGGACTCGAGTCCCGGAGTGAACACTAACTCTGGAATGCAGGTGCATTCAGCTGAAAAGTCCAAGATAGGACCAAACGCGCGCTGCGAATTCCACTACTAGCCACAATCCATCACTGCTTACATGAAGATATTTGTTGTCCAAGAGAGCTGAAATTTAAATTGATTATTTTACTTAGAAATTTAATTATATGAAGAACCGATATCTACACATAGTTTGTTCTATTTTCTTCAAAAGAACGACAACAAAGATTTGAACAGAATGACATGAATTCATTTTTATTTCTTCTGGCTCTCATCAGTTGATTATAACCTGTAATATTTAAAAGTTATGATTACAAAATGATTTTAAACTACTTACATGAAAATAGAGTAAATACTAAACATGTCTTGGATATAGGACATCAAGTTGATACCTTGCAATCTGTCAAGGTGATTAATAAACGGTCAAGCCTTCGTCTTCTAAAGTTTGCTGAAGCCAGTGCTATTAGACATCAGAAACCGGATTTGTATGTTCAAAAAGAGATGGTTTTTGATCTTTCTTTGTTTTAGTGACAAATATTCCTTTATTACATCATAAAATTTTATTCAACCCTTTCTTTCAATTCATTACATCACTACATATTTTTATTTCAACTGTATTATTTTAACTGAGGTTTATTCAATATTATTGTTGTTATTACGTAATCACTTGCTTCTAAATCTTGTCTTTTATTACTAGCAACGTAGAATATTCTTTCTTATAAATGTATATTTACATTATTATACTTAATTTATTATATTTATTTTTTATAGTGTACTGATGTTTGATAATAGCAAATTCCAACTGAACTCTTTCATGAGAGTAATTTCAACCTGTTTTGTAGTTATGATTCTAAATGTTACAGAATGTAAGTAGCTAATGACAGGCAAATGAAATAAAATGAATTCATGTCATTCTGTTCAAATTTTTATTCTTTCTCTCTCTGTATATATAGAATCTGCCAAGGCATTTAAAAAAGTTGGACCAACACACATGCTGTTCATTATGACAGTTTATAATGTCTAGCAACATTACTTTCACTACTCAAAGTAGAAATTGGTATATAGCTGATATTGGCATTCATATTATTCTTCAGTTATCACGCTATGAACAAATGAATTGGTTACTTAACGTACTGTTAGACTAAATTCCAGTCTCCCTTCCTCCCCTCCCACCAAAAAAGAAACAATAATTAATGCCGACATAGTCGAATCGTAATGTTACCTCTTTATCTAAAACTCCCTTGACTTCTTCTCGAGTATCGACAAGACGACGTTTTTGTATATCATTAATTTTGTGTAATTCATTTACTCGATTAGATAAATCATTCATTGATTTTCCAAAATGATCCATCACACCTAAGCATTCACGTAAGTAACTGTAAAATAGAAAGAAAAAAGACAACGAATACTTTTACTATTGAAAATCAAAACCATGAAGTAAAATAAAACTATACAATTTATTGTATTTCCTGGTACGACAGAGTGTGAGGAGAATCTACTCTTTTGAAATGTCCTCATATAAGCATGAATTTCATAGTCTCTGCTGAGAAAGCTCAATTCACTCTCTTTACACCCCGAGGTTGTTGATTATGAAAGTAAGAGAATGAAAATGTGAACGTCCGGAACTTAAATCACGTTGGTGGATACACAATGTTCATGTAAGGACGTGGTTGGAGGGCACAGATTCCAAACCAAGGGTGTACACAGGCCCTGAAATCATGAAGGAACGAATAGTGCATGAACTTAATTATGATCATCGGTTATCATGGGATGACATCTCTTCACATTGCTACATTATTTCATAGATTAGATCTTTAAACCGAAGGCTCGGATGATAGCTCCCTAGGAAAGTCACCTACTTTGGTTTGAGCGCTCGGGTAGTAGTCTTAACACAGATTTTTGTGTGACATATTATTTTTGGTATGAATTTATGGATTAAATGACTAAATTAAGCATTACACAATAATCCAAAATTTACTGTCAACATTTGTTCAAAGGAATGTAAAAATGCTTTAAGGGGAAATGAGTTGTAAGTCTAACTAGGAAATACAAAATAGTGATTGATATTTTCCTTTCAATAACTATCATACCATTTGGTGAAAGAGAAAACATCTCTTGGTGACACTCATGCACTGAATGTTTTAGATTAAGACACCATAAACAAGCATGTAGATTTGTTTCTGATGAAGATCACAAAGCAAGAAGAGGTTTAAGTTTACTGAACAGGTTAGACAACACATGCTTGATGATAACGCTGAACGATGTAATTTTTATTAACCATTGACGTGCTTTCGATCCCTTCGATTTTACAGGTATACTCCGTCAACGAGTACCACCAGTAAGCACGCAAACAATCAGTTAGTCATACACAACGTAGAACCTGGTACTGGTTCAAGTTGTCGGACCATATTAACACAGCAGGATGCCAGAGTAGTATGAGTAGTAACATTATTTATATTTATTTATTTATTTTAACACATAGATATTGGTACAAGGAGGCACCAAATATATATGCGCCACACAGATCTCATTTGATATGTGTGAGGGCTGTGATACCGCTCGGGTGCCCAGACCGAAGCAGGTGGTTTCCTTAGGGGGCCACATCCCGAGCCTTTGACCTAAAGGTCTAACCCATAAGGCAGTGGAGAATCGTAAGGAGATGCAGTCTCATGGTAGCCGGTGACCAACGATTGGTTCATACGCCATTTGTTCCCTCAGGATACTGGAGCCCATGTGCACCATTGGTTTTGGCATCCGGTTAAAGCGCCGGACATTTGCTTTTCGTCCTCTCATTTTCGTAAACAACACCCCCGCCACGAGAAGGCAGTGAGTAGGACTTCCCTGTCAGAGGCTATATACGCGTGGCCATGTGAGAGCATTTCGGGGCAGTAACACTATTAGTGGTAGTAAAAAAATATTAGGCACAAAACCTAGAAGTAGAACTTGCGGAGAATGGATCAAACAAGCTTGTTTTACCAAACCAATAGGCGGGGAAAATTGTTATTAACCGATAATTGAGTAATGCATAAAATCAACCATTGTGTATTGCCGACTTTACTCACATACATCCTCCATATTTCTCAACATTTTCCAGTAAAGAAAATGATCGCTAATTATACCTCATGTTCCAAACAGCCTTAAAAGAGAAAAAGCAACTATAAACAGCGTAATTAGCAGACATCTCATAGATAGAGGGCATTAAGTCGATACCTTGCAATCTTTCAAGGGGATTGCTAAACAGCTAAGCTCCAGTCCTCTGAAGTTTGCTTAAGCCGTTGCTATCAGGAGTCCATTTATTTTTTATTCATTTAAACACATAAAGATTGGTACAAGAATGCACCAAATACATATGCGTCACGTAAATCATCCGATTCGTGTGAGGGCTGGGATACTGCCCAGGTGCCCAAACCGATGTGGGTGGTTTTCTTAGGGAACCTTTCCCAGAGCCTTTGACTTGAAGGTTTAATCCAAAATGCAGTGGAGCAACGTCAAGAGATACAGTTTCATGGTAGCCGGTCACCAATAATAAGTTCACATGCCATTTGTTGTCTCAGGATCCTGAAGATCATGTGCACTATTAGTTTGAAATCAGGGTTTTCCAGCTCCCCTAGGTGAAACTTCTATATCCAACAATTCGGTAAAAGCGCCAGACATTCGCTTTTCGTCCTCTCAATTTTGTAAATAACACCCCCGGCGCGAGAAGGCAGTGAGTAGGACTTGCCTGGCAGTGGTTGTATGCACGTGGCCATTTGAAGCATTTCGAGGAGAGCTAACTCTTCCCATTCTCGGTCGTAACGGGGCATTTGGGGGCCCAGTCGTCGAAAACCAGATTTATATGTGTTATGATTTTAATGTCCGGCTTTCGATCAGGTGACTTATCCACCAATCAGAATACGGCTTATACAAATATTCGCACTATGACAAGACCAATGACGTTCAACCGGTCTGAACAGTCTAGCGTCCTTATTGGGTCCTATGTCCTTCTAACCCGTCCGCTTGAGTCCAGAACACAATACCAGCTTCCGTAATATAAATCGAATCATTTATTTCAGACATACTCGGTTTATATATAACTCAAGAATAATAAATCGTATAGTAATAATCTATGGGTCAAATTAAAGCTTATAATAAGTGGAATATAAAAACACAATGTAATTCTTGTATAATTATACAATAAGAATATTTATAGAATATTAGTCCATCAATAGTCCTCGAAAGTTACCTGTAGTTTAATCTGCATTGGTATATAACAATATGTTCAAAAGGAGATGGTTATTAATCTTTGCTTGCCTTAGTGACAAATATTCCTTCGTTGCATCTTAAAAGATATTTTCAACTCTTCCTTGCATTTATTACATTATTATGTCCTTTCACTATGACTGTCTTCCAGATTAATAATCTTGTTTTATCAACTGAGCTTTACACATTTTATTCAAATCAGAGTTTACTCATTTTGTAGTCACTTGTTTCTAGCCCTTTGAACTCTTGTTACAACCAATGTTGTGGAATGTTATTCCACATAAGGTATATATACAATACAACCAATTAAAAAAATACTATGTAAAGAGGGAAAGTTAGTTGGAAAAATGTGCCTGTTATAACTGAGATGATCGAAGGAGCGTGCGTTAAGTACTCTCAACTAGCCACTCCACCTGAATGTACTACATTTACATTAGAAGTACAATGAACGCCGTGTAGTAGTTTTATGATAGAGCAGTCTATAAATGTTTATTTAAATGGTATGGTGCATTCTGATAAACATCTTCAACAAAACAGAAGTCAATGAATGGAAAGTCCAAATAATGACATTAATAGTTGACCAAATCCAAAAGGTTTTATGAATCCAGAGAAACTTACTAATAAGTTTCGCCTCATGTATTTATTCGTTTCTTTGCTTTTTGATGTTTTACTATTTCCTGTAATCGCTGATTTTTGAGATGATGTACGATATACTAATTCTGACCACTACATAAATCTACAAGGTCTTAACTTTTCCAAGTAGCCTTAAGGTTAAAATATTTTATGCATTGATCTTCCTTTTTCGAACTAAATTGTTTCCTGTTAAGTATTAGACTATTTATCCACCTTTTTCCATCATATTAGTTTCCTCACATAAAAAATGATAAGGTTAGGACACGGAAATAATTGAGAAAATTTTAACAATAAGCTACCTGACTGCACTAAGTTTTGAAGAAATATTAAGTTTAAAATATCTTTACGTAAAATGTTTGAGGATTTTCACACTTGTAATCTTTAAATTGGTTATTTAAATACAAGAAAGGGAACAAATGGTTTAGGTTTAATAACTCAGTAATCATACACACATTTGTCCCTTCACTCACATAAATTTTAAGTATATTTCGCTGTTATTCCAATGCACGCATAAATGACACAGAATTGTAAATAGTGAAATAAAATCTGAACAGAATGTAGATTACAAACAACGATAGGATTTTTAGTAGAAATAACTTACTGGGTTTGAACATAGAAGAAATCAATTAAATGCTGCAGGAGATCAGCGCCACGCTTTGCTTTTAATTCATTCACCTTGATCAGATACTAAAATAATATTAGATAGGAAAGCTTAAAAATCAAGTATAATTATTCACGAATCAACTATTTATAATGACATTTAGACCGGCATATATTATTACTACTACCATATTAAACAAATACAACTTGATATGTATAGTTTTGAGCTAAGTAATGATACGGAGTTGTCCAAACTAAAGTAGGTGGAGTGGGTTCGAACCCGGAACTTAGTAGTTGAAAGCTGAACGACTTAAGTATTGAGGCAACGCTCCACTGTCGAGAGTAATATACACTAAAAAAACCCAGTGAAATCATCGACTACAATATCACTTGTTCTTTGAAATCTGATACCTGAATGACAAGAAATCTACTCATTTGGAAAAAACTTACTGGCTGTGAATATATTCTAGGTGGAATGAACAGTTAGAAATCACCCACTCAAATATTAGTGATGGTAAACATACATAATGAACTGAGGATGATAGAACGGGCAGGTTAGGAAGTGAGTACTAGTTAGTGTAAGTGGTCTTACGAAATACTTTTCTTAATCGAAAATAAGCCGAGGCAATGAAGCCTTGTCATTCGGTCTGTAACGGTAAAGACAATGAACGACTACTAACCTCTTCACTTCGTTTGCTGGACTCAAAAGGATTAGATAGTGAATTTCTGGTTAAAGGATTTTTCAAACGCATAAAGAAATAAAACCACAGATAGTACATAAACATATTCTTAAGAAAAAGAGGGATAAATAAAACTTTTAAATATATTGGTTGGTGATACCAAAAGGGGTAAACACGAAAGACAATGTGGGGACTGGAAATCTCAACGATAGCACCGAGTGACAGGTCCGATTCCTACAAAATATATCAGTCCCTTCATGAATTTAGATGCGCCTTGCTGGTGAGGGCTAACTAGCACAAACCTCAGATCTAAGATATCTTATCGATTACCTGCAACCACTGAGTACGTGTTTATTGCGTAATAACACTTGTAAACAAGTAACTGAGGTACATATCAATTAAAATCAACAGTGTGAGCTTTGTAGACCTATCAGAGCTAACTTTAGTTATTTTGTACATTAATAAGTACTTGAAATACCCCCAAATGCCCTGATACGGCCGAGAGTGGGGAGAGTCTGCTCTCCTTCTCAAAATGCTCTCACATGGCCACGCGTATATAGCCTCTGTCAGGGAAGTCCTACTAACTGCCTTCTCGTGGCGGCGCTTTAACCGGATCCCAAACCATTGGTGCACATGGGCTCCAGTATCCTGAGGGAACAAATGGCGTATGAACCAATCGTTGGTCACCGGCTACCATGGGACTGCATCTCCTTACGATGCTCCACTGCCTTATGGGTTAGACCTTTAGGTCAAAGGCTCAGGGTGTGGCTCCCTAAGGAAACCACCTGCTTCGGTCTGGGCACCCGAGCGGTATCACAGCCCACGCACAAATAAAATAAAACTTTGTGTGGCGCAGATATATTTTGTGCCCTCTTGTACCAATATTTGTGTTCAAATAAATAAATAAATAAATAAATAAATAAATAAATAACAAGTACTTGAAAAAGAGAACATGGTCTCCTTTGCAATGACAAACTATTGTTTCTTGATACAATACGATGAAAAAAACCGAACTTACTTCACAAGTTTCAAGTTGAAGCCTTCGACGTTCTTTCTCTAAATCTTTCGTCATTCCTTCTGTAAATGCTTCAGGAGCATAGCATCCTGTTTCCTTCATTGTTTGTAATTTTTCCTTCCGTAATTTATCACTGTATCATAAAAAATAACAATCGATAAAGGATTCGGAGATTTTATGGACAGATCGCCAATCCCTAAATGAATGTTTTGACAGAGTATGTATCACATTTAACTGCAAAGTCAAGCAGATCTGTCGGTAAATGAATGACTAGGTATATAGGTCACTTAAACGTAAGAGCTGAGATGCAACGACTAATCTGGAATTGATTAACAACTATTGATGGATTTTGAAGGGAAAAAAATATATAATTAATTAGTTTGAAACCAACATCGGTGAAGCACGAAACATTAAAATATGCTAAGTACACTGCAGGCAACCAAAACTTCACTAACCGAGGAACAAAAGACGACATGATTGTATATTGGATAAATATTAATTTATCTTTAATCTACTGTAAACCAAGACAGAACATATCTTAGACCTTAAAACACACACTTCAAGCACATTTATCGCTAGTTTATTTTAAAAACTACAAATATTATTTCCCTGTGGCAGTAAAATTAAAATCACAACCTCGTGTTAATATTCACTTGTTAAAATAGATTACATTAACTACGTACCACAACTTAGGAAGAGTAAAATTGTAAACTACGAAAATCCAACAAGTCATTTAGGGTTCTTTCAAATGATAGAGCATGATAATGTCAGCTGCTTGTATATGGATTCAGTGTGGATATCTTGGTAGTTTCAGTAATATTCAAGAATGGATTAAAACCAAGTATGCAGACGCCTATCATCGAGTTATGTCAAATATAAGTAAGAAGATAGCAAACTGCTTTGAAGTTTATTGACTAAACACTTATTGAAATACCCCAATAAACGTAAGAAGGGACTTACTATTTATATTCATAATCCTTAAGTGCCTTCTCGAAGGGTTTCTTGAGGTCGCTTTTGATATCACCCTGCATAAATGTTTCCATTGGAAATACTACGATACTGTTTAAATTCTGCATCTAAATATAAAGAATTGGGTGAGTTTAAAAAAATTTGGTCTCATTGTAAAGTGTTATTCGTTCTGTGATGTAACATGAAAAAGCACTATGTACGTCACTACTCACCAAATGCTTTGTCATGTTGGCCAAGTCCCGGTGAACAACAGAGAACTTGCAAAGACTGGTAGCAATGTCATTCCCATTGGGTTCGTTACCTTCCAAAGCTATTTGACCAAGTCTTTCTAAAAAGTCACATAATAATGTTATTTGTTCAGCATATGCTGGAAAAATAATAAAGGTCAAGAATTACCTATTCCAGAGGCGACAACTGACTTTACTAATTTTTTTGATCGTATAAGAACATTTCGATCTGTCTCTAAACCCTAAAAAAGATAATGGTAAGTATATATACATATGCGTTCGACATGAAAAATGTGTTTTGTGAATAAAAAAACTTACCTCATCTAGGCTGTATACTGTACACCTCACACTTGAAATTTTTGAAATAAAATCGGATTTGAGAGGATGTCTGACGTCATTCAGAGTGTCACCAATAAACTCATCAACTGTCAACGCATCAGGCATTATCCCAGTGGCGTTGTGATTAAGCAGGGCGCTCGTTCAAAATATTTTTAATATCCTTTTGATAAACCATTTACTACTTTTGTCAACATTCTTTGGTGTTGTAGAGTCTAATATAAAGCGTTTTGCTTATTAACTTGCTTGAAAAAGTCTCATTGATTGATAATTTTGAGCCTGATGGTTTTCAGTTTCAGATCGTTAAAACGGAAAGCTGAGTGGCCTGTTTAAGTCATAATATAGGTAGTCTCTCAGTTGATCATCAGGCAATTTAAATACTGCTATCAATTTACCTCTGATTCATCTATATGAGTTTAGTTTAACTAGTCTGTTGTCACACGAGAGCTTTGAGATTCCGGGAACCAGCATATTTATGGATCTTCCAGCCTGTTCCAATAGCTCACTGTCTCTTTTTAGGTTAAAGCTAGCCGCTTGTATGCAATACTTGAGGTAAGGACGAAAGAACATTGCGTACAAGATCGAAAATGTTTAGTATCAGCATGGTTAAAGGCTCTATGTAATGACCTTAGGATTATAAAACCTTTACGACTTTCTCACGGAAATTTGTATTAGTTGTTAAGTCTTGGCTAGGGATGACTCCTAGGCCATTATGTGTCTGGACAGTAGTTTGCTCAGTGTTATTCATCGGGTATGTGTCTGTACCTCGGTGACCAATATGCATGATAATGCACTTGAAAGCATTCATCGGCCACTGTCAAATTCTAGACTAATCAAATGATATCTGCTGGTTACATCAAACCAAACTTTTTGTCGCTCTCTATATCTTGAAATTGTCATTGTACAACAAAATCGTTGATGACACGAAACTAGGAAGGCCATTTACTTGTAAGGGAAACAAGATTGGCTTCAAAAACGAATCCTGGGGTGCTTCTCTAAGGTTTCACAGATAGACAACTTGGAGTTCACCTGCACTCTTTGTTGTTATCTGAGTAGGAATTCCTTTATCCATACAAATTATTTACCTCCAATCCCGAAATCACTTGGTTAACAGTCAATTGTGAGGATCTTTGTCAGAAGCCTTATTGAGTTCAGTATAAGCTACTTCCATGGGTATCCATTAAGGGACGAGTATACTGTGCAGCAGTTCGTTCTGTTCTACTTTACGGCTGTGAAACGTGGTCATTAAGGGTAGAAAGATATTCGTAAGCTGCTAGTATTTGGTCACAGATGTCTTAGAAATATTGTTCTCGTCTGCTGGGATCACCGGGTAATAGTGAGGTTAGAAGCAGGGTATTAGGGAATGATGGTAAATCAGTTGACGAGATTGTAAATATTCATTGACTGAGATGGTTTGGCCACGTATTACGTATGTCTGTACACCGCTAACCACGACGCGCAGTACTGACTAGTGTTGGAGACGGTTGGAAAAAAATTAGGGGCGGCTAAACCAAAACGTGGCTTTGATCATGGAAGTCACTAACTCCTGGTCTGAGCCATGTCGGTAGATGCAAACTACTTGGTTGTGATTACATATGTACATTATATTTGAAACAATCTCAGCGATTGAAATTTAAAATAATTCCAACGTTTCGTCCAGACATATATAATGACTTCTCTATACTCGGCGCCCAATATCCGTCAAACTATTCGTTCTAATCTTGACGAATATTCGTATAAAATACTTGATTGTGGTCTGCGTGACCATCGTAACCAATGGTCGGAGACTGTGTGACATGGCTCAGAATCGATCACAATTGTGTAGGTGTACACACTATTTGTCTCCCATTAAATAGTGAAATTAAAGTTGCTTTATATCTTCCTTTTTACCAACTAATTCTTTTATCGTGTACTATATCCTTATACACAATAATTCATTTATACATTACTACCATTCAAGTGACTACTATGAAGTTGGCGTGGATCTTGTACTAATGAGGTGTATCAACTTGAAACGATGGATATTTGTGCCTGGCCGTATATTGTAGCTGACTGATTAGCATCCATAGGTAACTTTCGGTCTTTAAGAGCACGCTAACTTTCATGGGCTATCAACAAGTATGTGAGATATGAATGACCCGTTATAAAGCTGTGCCGTCTTTCGAAAAGGACCTGGTTTTCGTCTGGATACTTTGACAGTTACTTCCGAATCTTTTTCAAGCTTTTAACAATCACCCTGATCAGGCTTAGTAGTCGATAGTCCTCAGATATGTATCTCGTACTTGTTTTGAAGACAGGGTTAACTATAGTGTTGTTCTAGTCTTTTGGAAAATACCATAGCTTATAAACATATAAAAACATACGCCTAACGAAATGGTGACAAAATTTGTTAGTTCCTGCAGTAACTTATGATGAATTTCACTGGGTTCCATAGATTTACCTATGTAAAGCTTGTTTAACAGACCGGAGACATCTAGTTCTTTAATGGTCTAATCATTTGTTAAGCAATCTAAAGATATTTACGTAACAGATTCCAAGACTTTTTAAGTGACGTAAAGTGGATTTTGAATAGTCCGCTCGCACAGCCTCAACAATAACAACCGTATCATCTTAAGATTCTTTTCAGTCCATTTTACGCTTCTCGCTGTTTCACAAAGTGTCTAGAGAACCATCAACGCTTGCTCGTAGTTGATGAACGATTGGCGACATTCCGGAAATACCGTAATTACTGATCAACGGTAACAACGTGGACACGAAAGATTTTGATAATTTATATTATTTGTCACATAGCATGCCATTTCTAAAGGTATGGTCAATAGGATGTGCGTATTTACAAAATGAATAATTCTTCATTGAGGTTATTAACAAGGTCGCAAGATCAAATCATTAAAAATTTTCAATAGTAAGATCTTAGAGAAATGCCAACTAAGTGCTAGACTGACATATTAAATAGAACTACACTGTAAATTCGTTGTTAATATAATATATCCAAAACAGTGTGTTCAGCACAGACTGTAAACTTGACGAGGAGCGCTTTAAGTATGTGGTCTGGTGCTGGAAATAACTAAAATGAAAGGAAGAACAGCGGGATAAACAAATATGAATGATTATCAAAGTCTGGTCGTTTTCAATGTAACACATTGAGATATGCTTAAAAATTTCACATGTGTTTGAAGTATCACAGTTCCTTTGTAGGTGAAAGCTTTATAATTTGAGGATACCGCCCCTTTTGGATCCGAAGTCAGAAATGAAGGGGTTTGGTGCTGTCTCTAAAAAGCTGTCGATATTTTGTTGTGAGCTGCTTATATCCACATAAGCAGTAAATAATGATGGTGAGGAATAGAATGTATTTCAGTAGATTGAGAAGGGAAGAACGCGAATGGAAGGCATTTGGTATGAGATGAACAAACAATTAAATCTGAGGTCATGGACTGATATTTGCAGAAAGTAGTCAAGTTTGGGACAGTTGAGTGATAATTTGCAAATTAAGTATTTATTGTATGGTTCTCAGACATTAGTAAGACGTCTCGTAATTTTGCGTTCAGATACATTCGATTGTGTCCACTCGTCGAGAAGCGTTTCGTTTAAGCTGGCTAGCAGTTGCTGGTTCGCGTAGCATGGAGAACCTACTCGTGATCTTGTGCAAATGAGTGACTAAGTATCTTCAGCTTGAGTGCGTCCACTAAATCTAGTCTGAGACTTACAGGACTGTTTTTTCTGGGAGTTTGTTTACCGCTTCATTTTTCTTTATTAGGTAGAACCCAAGCTAGTTGCGATTGCTAAAACAAGATGTCATCAAAAAAGTAAGGGTAAATTGCTGAAACTAAAAACAGTGTGTTTCGAAATGCGTTAGTATGATAATCAGAATTACTTAGAGCTAGTTTCTAAAATTGCCTAGAATAGTCAAACTTAAGGCAGATAGAATTAAATGAATGTGACTGGACGTATCATTTTCAGCATTAGCGATAAACACGGGAACAAGCACAAAGGAATAATCGATTAGTGCAAATACCAGGAATAGTTCCCAACTAATAGGTAAAAGATCGACTTATAAGGCAGGATAAGTAATCGTCACACTTAAAAGAGCAGTTAAGGAACGCTGAAACAATGACATCTGTTGATACAACTAAAAATAATTGTATAGTGTTCTACAAGATTACGATGCAATTGTTAGTCGACTAAGATTTTAAATGGCTATAATCATAGAGAAATATTTGAAAATGGGATGTCTCCAAACCTTATCCACATAATTTTTCAAGCGTTATAAAACCTACCTTGGAAATCACCCCTTTGAATGTTGAGTGATGAATAACAAGGGTCGAAGTTCGAGAAAGGCAGACATGGGAACTTTGTTGGGACCGCATGCCTTGTCCGTGAGAACATAGTCACGCTAGGCACTTCTTCCGTTTGCATATTAAAAATGTTATTCTGTTGGTGAGATTGCATTTATTATTCAAATTTTGTTATTTACAAGAGACATCCTGACATATATTGTACGGTAAGTTGGAATAACAACAATGAAACTTTGACGTTATGGTGACGTATATTCCGTGATTTTTTGTAACCACATTTTATCCAATATCTGTTGTTTTTCTGTATCACTTATTTAAAAAATATGATAATTGTTTTGATAAATTGAATGCACTTTTTGCCACCGCGCTGATTGAAATATCGCACCTTATCTACGTCGTATGCCCTTCTGCTTTATTGGCCACGGCCTTTGACCGAAGACTATAGTGGTATTATAATATCCTTTTAGGCCCGGAAAACTATTACATAATACTATTGGACTCTGCCTTTCTCGTCACGCCGTCGGTGCCATCATTCGCAGGGGAATCTACGTTAATCAAGTGGACTTATTTGTGGTTGTCACCTCAGAGAGCAGCCTTCAAGTAACATTCATTCCTTAATAATTGTTAGTATCATATTGCTCAATATACCATTTGTATTATAACTAAACTGTTAACCTTGGTTTTTACTTGTACACAGACACTTAAGGTTTATACTGTTAACTTTTTATGGTATATTATTATTAACTTAGTGTATAAATATATCTTGAATAATCTCTATTTGCTGGGGTCCACTACAAATCTGGTGAGCCTCGAGTG